TCTAATAATGAATGATGGGACCTCTGCCTCACCTTCCACATTTGCATTACACGCCAGATAACGTTCAGCTAAATTTATTTACACTTGAAAAAAACAAGGCACAAATCAAATATTTAACCGCTGCATAAACAAAACTCAACGTCAAATTTGTCAGAGAAAAAACCCTGACAATTCTGGCCACACGACAAAACCGTATAATTACGTTTTTCCTCTTATTCTTCCTCACCTTCCTAAGTAGGTTAATTCAGCGAGACGCTCCTCTGACGCATGATTTCAGCCGTGTTTGATTGCTAAAATATCACATCAGAAACGTGTCAATTAGCATGCTTGCATGAGATGATATCAGGCTGTGTGCAGGTGCTAATAACAGTGAAAGCATTTAGTGACTGAATATTTCATTAGGTGGCGCGTGTTTCACCAGTCACTCGTCCGGACCTCTGTCATTTCAATCTCCCCTCAACACAGTGACTGGCGCAGTGCACCTCTGCCAAGATAGCTATCTCTCAGCTGCTGTCAGCGCCGCCTGCCAGTCACAAGCTCAATCCAGAATAATACATTCCATGCTACTCATGGCTGCTGTTAGAGAGCCGACAAATGCACACATTTCAGCTTGCCACAATTAAATGTGTTGGGCTTCCTTTGAAGCGCCTTTTTGAAGTGTGGTCTTGTGCAATATTTCAGACATTTTAAATCAACTTTTTTAATATTTATACACACAGTTGATGTCATAATTATTAACCCCCAATTTAATTTTTTTTTTATTTTTTTACATTTTACCCAAATTATGTTTAACAGAGCAAGAATTTTTTTCTTCTGGAGAAAGTCTTAAGTGTTTTATTTCGGCTAGAGTTAAAGCAGTTTTTATTTAAAAAAAAAAAAAAAAAAAAATTAAGGTCAAATTCCTAGCCCCTTTAAGCTAATTTTTTTCATAGTCTGCAGAACAAACCATCGATATACAATAACTTGCCTAATTGCCCTAATCTGCCTAGTTAACCTAATTAACAGTGATGATAACAGTAAGTAATATTTTACTAGATATTTTTCAAGACACTTTTATACAGCTTAAAGGGCAATTTAAAGGCTTAACTAGGGTAATTAGGCAAGTTATTGTATAACGATGGTTTGTTCTGTAGACTATCGAAAAAATATATAGCTTAAATGGGGCTAATATTTTTGACCTTAAAATGATTTTTTTTTTAAATAAAAAATGCTTTTATTCTAGCTGAAATAAAACAAATAAGACCTTCTCCAGAAGAAACAAATATTACCGTAAATACTGTGAAAAATGATTTGCTTTGTTAAACACAATTTAGTAAAACTAAATAAATATATAATTAATATATATATATATATATATATATATATATATATATATATATATATATATATATATATATATATATATATATATATATAAAGGGGGGCTAATAATTCGGACTTTAACTACACTGATACACATTTTGGTTTTAAAATATCAAACAAGACTTTTGTTTTGGTATATAAACACTGAATTTTATAGCGTGTATCCAGTAAATCTTGCTAAAAATATGAAGTCATTGTCATAATCTACTATCATTTATGTTGTCATTTATAGTAGTCATGCTTTTTTTTTTTCTCTAAAAACATTACTGACTCATACACAGCCTCAAAATCACCTTACATGCATATTCATTATAATCTAGTTCATAATAGAGATTTGTCTATCTCTATTATGATAGACTCAGTTGTCTATTCTAAATCAACTGCCTTTCAAATATTTTAATTTGGTTTAATGAATTTTAACAAATGAAATATCCCATTTTAAGTAGACAATTAATCCGAAATATAAAGCAGCAAAGTCTTTTACAGGAAAGCAGCAGGTAGCCGAGCTGTAAAATCCTCCATTTAATTAGTATGTCCAGAGGAGCGTCCTAGACATGCGTTTGGGGGAAAGAGAGAAGGAACAAGAACACAGAAGTTGCCCTGAGAGCGAGGTGAGCTGCTTTTCAAACAGCGTTCAGCTCTTCCAGTCACCGGCTCCCCGATTCCCTCTCCAGCAGCCTATGAAAGCAGCTCCTCGCTTTGAAAATTTTCCCTATCATGCAAACTGACAAAGGCATGCTTTTCAAAAACCCACAGCCAATCTGTTGATCATTATTTATTTACGACGGCCTGGAGGCGCAGAAGCCTGTAAAAACCATACTTGATATGGTATATGCTGCCTGCTTTCCCCCTTTCCTGCGTGTGGAATAAAGCATCCCTAAGGCTCCCGCAAACAATCGCTTTTCATTGTGCATAAAAACGTGCGAGGTATTTAATGTATGTTGTAATATATTGACAAGGAGGGCACAGGTTGAGGGAGTCCACGGGTCTGTCTTTGGTAATTTGGATGTTTGGCTGCAGGGCTCGGGCTTGAAAAAGCTTACACCTAGAACAGAAGACCTGTCATCCGGTACCCAAGAGCCGAGCTGAACACACAGGCACCCTAAAGCACAGAAAACTTTGACACCGCTTTGAAGCCTTTCAAAACAGGGTAAATAACTCCCAAGAATTATGATCACTTGTAGATCAAAGAGGCGATGCATACATTACATGGCAAACGGGGACCTTCAAATCTGCTCTGAAAAACAGTTTTGTGCTGTAAGTTGAAGAATAAAAAAAACTGAGATGCTTCTAAGCGATCGCTGAAAGCTATTTTTTTTTCATTCCTCTCGCAGTTTATTGTTTAAAACAGAAAGAGAAGAGAAACAAGTGAACATTGATCATTTTCACTTGGAAAGCTGACTAAAAAGGGCGAGATGTTCTGCAGGGCTGACAGTTTACTGTATGTAAAATTCAACATAATTGCTTCTTTTTTGGTGGTGATGGTGGTGGAGGGAGGATTCATGTTGAAGACCACTGTCTGGGGTACTTATTATATTTTACAGCAAAATGCCTTGTGGGTGGCATGCAACTGAAAAAATGGGTGTTGTTAAATAAAAAAATATTTTTTTTATTAATTATATGACTAAAAATAAAAAAAAAAATTAAATGTTGCAGCGAAATTAATAAAACAAATAAAACAATAAAAATAAAACTAATCATTTCTGATAATTCAAATAAAATCATATTTAAAATTGTAGCTTATAGTACATCTACTTCAGTTGTCCTTCTTTTAAGGAGAGTTTTTATTCTATTTTACAGTAAAATGCCTTGTGGGTGGCATGCAGAGAAAAAAAATATGTTTAATAAAATAGTTTTTTTATTGTCTATATAACTGAAATTAAATAAAATAATGTTGCTTGAAATTAAATACAATATATACATCTATTTCAGTATTCCTTCTTTCAATGAGAGTTTTAATTCTGTTACAGTAAAATGTCATGTGGGTGGCATGAAAATAAAAAAAAAAAGTTTTTTTTTTTTTTTTTGTAATAAAAAGAGGTTTTAAATTGATTATATGACTAAAATAAAATGTAAAATATTGTTGGAGGAAATCAATACAAATAAAACAGTTCAATAAAAATATGTGCACTAGTCATTTCTTATAATGCAAATATTAAAATAATCATATTTAAAATTCAGTATTTGTTCTTTCAAAGAGAGATTGTATTCTATTTTACAGTAAAATGGCTTGTGTGTGGCATTCAACAGAAAAATATATGTTGTTAAATAAAGAAAGTTTTTTTTTAATTAATTATAACACAAATAAAAAAAATGATAAAACAATAATAAAGTTGCAGGAAATTACATACAAATGATACAATAGAATAAATTAAATGCAAATAAAATCATATTTAAAGTTAATTTATAGTATAGCAGTAGTTTACAGTAGGTCGGTGGCATGCAACTGAAAAAAAAGTTGTTAAATAAAAAGGTATTTTTTCATTGATTATATGATATAAATATATCCACTAAAATGCCTTAAGATGGCACACAACTGAAACAAAACGTATAATATATGAAATAAAAATATATAAAATATAAAATGAATTATTTTTTAAATGATGTTAAATGAATGGTAAATTATTGTAATTTGTCAAAACTTAATTCAAACAAAAGTAAATATTACAAAAGAAATGTGATACATTAAATAAAATTCTTTTTTGAATGTATGATGATGTTACAAAAAAATAACTATACATCACAATAAAAATATCTGAAAAAATAATAATAACACTTTTAAAATGAAAATTGTATGCAACATTCATGCAAAGTATCTGCTACATTTTAAACAATTATCAAAGTATTAAATCAATCCTGCAACGTAAATCTGGCATTACATTAGAACTGTGAGGATGTGTCTAACTCGGCACTAAATGACAGAAAGGGCTCTTTTAGAGTCAAGCTCGTTAACTATCAGTTTGCAGAGAGTCGTCCCTTCGGCAATACTTTCCCTACTCGACGATGAGCCATGGAGGCCATTGTCTCTGCATTTTTTACAACCTCCGCATAAACGTCTCCTGGCCACATGAGCGGAAAAGCAAGTCCTTTTATCAGTCAAAATCAATTAGCGGCATTATAATTCCGGCGGACAGGATAAAAGGAAGGTAATATTTGAATTCATTTTTGATTGCGATGATACATTTCACATATGGCCTTAAGTAGGAAAAACACTCCTCACAGGGGTTCCCACAATAGATGAAGAGCCCCGAGGCGAAGTAACCATGCTGGCGTCTCTGATTGGTTGGTGCCGTCATTAGTGCCACCGCTGTTTAAGAAGTACATGTGGACGGGACTGGGGGGAGATGACAGCTGAGACTTTAAAGCAAGAGTATTTTTCAAACAGCTTTTCATAGCTGCTTTCATGACAGAAATATTTCAGCTCTATCATTAACCGCTGACAGGCTGACAGCTCAAACGCCTCGGCCTGAAAGACCTGCTCTCCCTCCCTCTTTCTCTCTCTCTCCCTCTCCCCATCCACACTTTCTCTTTCCTCCTTCCACTCTTCCAATCCCCTCCATCCCAGCTCCATCCATCCTGCCTTTCCCACTCTCTCTCTCTCTCTTTCCTTTTGAAGCGTCTCGAAATCAATGTCTTACCTCATCATTTTGGGCGAGCAGTTGGGTGAATTTCGCATGCCTCCGTTGCGCTGCTTCTTTTTGGGTGACAGTGTTGACGGATGCTCATCTTCGACTGCAAACACATGCAAAGAGTGTCAGACTGTGGACAGCTGGGATTGTAAAGTGTGCTGGAGATGACATATTAAAGAACACAAAAGCCAACACTCAATCAATCATTGCCAACAACAACGAAAGAAAAAAAGGTGCAGTCAAATCTGTGAAGACCTCCGAAAATAGAAAGAGAAACAGTGTTAGTGTGGACAGAAGTACACTTAGAGAGGAAGGACAACCATTAAGTTTTACACCTCCGAATTATCGCTTGAGTGTGTATTGATGTGATCAACCTCTTTTTTTTACCTCTCTGTCATTGTTTTGGAGGGCACAAGCTGGAACAATGACAGAGCGGAGCAAAGAAAAAAGGAATTGTTATTAATTTATTGACTTATATGGATGCCTGCATAGTGAAATCAGTGGTGATCAGTCAGAGAGTGGTTGAGCGAGTCTGTCCCCCAAACCACAATCACCCTGAACTGAGGTTTCTCGTGCCCAACCACATCTCCACGTAACATCAGAAACATGTCTTGCACGAGTTTTTAAACCACCTGGATGTTGAGATAATGATATGCTGTAATAAAATTAAAGGAATAGTTCACCATGTAAAAAAATGAAGATGTCATTTATTTATCCTCGTGTCATTCAGTATGACTTTTATTACGTCAAGGAGCGCCACATTTTGATTTTGAGAAATTTAAATGCTACCCGTTTTATGACGCTTGAGCTCCATGAATTGCTGATATTAGATATAATGGAGATATTAGATTTACTTTGTGTCTATATGGAAAAAGTGAAGCACGTGGGGCCATTAAAAATGCACGTTTTTTCACCGCGACTCGCCTCATTTTATTTTGCAGTCAGCCGCAGCATGTTGTCAACCCCTCCTTGCTTCTGAAATAAATGTGTTGTGCTTCACAGAACATCCACCATGTGGCACATCGAAACTACAGAAGGTAATTTGTATAGATATAAACTATTTTCATTTGAAGTTTAGCAAAAGGAAACTAAAAGTGTATATAGATTTATTTTGTTGTTATTGCTCTTTATTTATTTATTTATTTTCTGGCAAACTATTCCTTTAAGTTGGAGAGAAAGCATTCGGTGCGTTTTCTATCCTGAAGACATACTGTACTACCGATATATTTATGATGCATTGCTACATTTAGAATGTGTTTTGGCCTTTTTTGTGCTAATACAATATGATTCCAGTTACCTCTTACGATACCAGTTATCAAGCAAAAAATTGTTTACTAGACCGACCTGTATTAGACACAAACTATTAGCAGAAATCCAAACTCGTCAACACTGCAAAACTTGTTTTAGTGTCTCTGTTAAAAATACATAAAAATAAATGAATCCGCACAGCAGAACATTAAAATATTAGGGACGAATACAGCAAACGCATACACTTCTTCATCTCAGATTCCATTTGTCATCTAATTGCTCTAATAGAAAAAGCAAATTAAGCAAAAAAATAAATAAAAAAACCTGCTGTTTGCATCTTCACCAAATGCCAATGCTTGACATTTGCAATTACAGTGCAGAAGCAGCAACATGAGACAGTAATCAACTTTAAAAATACCACCGGCGATAAGATGGCAGTGCTGTTTTTTTTTTCTGTTACGTTATGGTGTCCTGGCTGGACCGGACCGCTCTCTCCTGCCCTTGCTCCTCCAAATTAGGCTGTGGAGATTTACGAGCTCCAGTGGTGCCCTTCAGTAAGAGGCTTAACAATGAAATAACTCCACCTGCAACACGGCCATTTCAGCAAGTCTCTGCTTGTTCCAAATTACATTACGCCACTTTTACAACCTCAATCAAAATAGGATCAGTCCACCAAAGTGTGATTGCTGTTCCAAACCACAGGGCAGCAGGAGATCAGGCTGCTTTTGTGTGGCCAATCACAACGATTGAGCTGGACATCCGTCTGCGCCACTTCATACAGACAACAATGAGTGGATGCAAGCTTAAAGTGCAGCAGAGATACAACTGAAGTAATAGATGTTTTAAATGGATGTTTTAAATAAGATTAAGACAATATTGGAATATATTTACAAAAAAATGTATAGCTTTAATTCTAAAAACTTGGTTTGCATGCTAATATCAAAAAGTAAAACAAAATATATGGATATAATCAATTAGCAATATTTTATAATTATAAATATCTTAATCTTAAGTATTTTTTTATAATTATATAAAATAGTATAAATTAAAATTTTACACTTTTACAATATTTTACTGCTTTGACACAATCTGCATTATAAAAGCACTATAGAAATAAAGATAATTTGAATTGAAAATATACATTTTATGATTAAGTAATTTTCATTATTATTTAATATGTTTATGTTATTAAATAGTTTCCTAATAGTGACTAAAAAGAAAAAAAAATTATATATATATATATATATATATATATATATATATATATATATATATATATATATATATATATATATATATATATATAACTTGTCATAAATTATATAAAATAAGTATTTTTTATAATAATAATTAGGTAATATGTTTATGTAATGAAATTGTTTCTTAAAAGTTAACAAAAAGAAAAAAAAATATATACAAAATATAAAACTTGTCATCAACTATGCAGCACTTTTTAAATTTTCAATTAGTTTTGAAATTTGCTTTGTAATTTAGGAGTAAAGATGACTTCCGTTTATATCAAATATAAAGCGTTTTAATATAATTCTAAACATCTTATTTCTACAGCTTGTTGTGTCTATGAAAACAAGCTAAAAATGAGAATTCAAAGTTACATAACATATCAATTAAAATCTGTAAATAAACAGATTTACTCATATTTTTAAAATTTGCTTTGTAATTTTAAAATAAAATGATTTCTCCATTTTTATCAAATATATTTACAGCCTTATTCTAAAATTCTAAACATTTTTATGTCTACAGCTTGTTGCATTCATAAAAAAAAAACCTAAAATGAGAATTGAAAGTTACATAAAACATTTAAAATCTGCAAATAAATCCAGAATAAAAACTAAATAAATAAATAAACAACATAAAATAGAATTAAATCATTCCAAAATAAAATCAATCTAAGGTCTAAATGTCTGTAAATAACACTGAAAAGTCTATTAAACTTGATCAAGTGAAAAACACTTTGTGTGTGCAAACTACTGCCCCTATTATTCTGATTTAACTATAAATGTATTCCTAAATTTGTTCCCAACTTTACCTTAACCACATGAATAGTTTCAAAAAAACATTTTATAAAAAACAATACGTTTTTTTAATGCTAGTACTTTGGTATGCTAATGTCACCTATATGACATTGATATACGATTAGTTACACTTGTAATACAGTTACTCAAACACACATACATACATTAACACACAGGGTGTACAATAGGCTGGAGCTGCTCTACATGCAGGGCCTCATGCAGGAGAAGGGCTGGTCTGACTAAAGCGTCCCCAGGCTCCACCTACAGTGTGCGGAGGAACGGCTGCCGGGCCGGTAGCGGTATTTTTCAGGCAGGCTGCGAGCCCGGTTTAGGCCAGCCGGGCTGAGGAGAGACAGCGAGGGTGGCGCTGGAGGGAGCAAACTTCCTTTACGATTATTAACAAGAGGAACGGCAGTCGTGGAGGAGTCCACAACCAGCAGCACACGGGGCAGAGGAACAGCCACACTGCTGACCGCATTCACTGAGCGCTTCTCAAAACTCACTCTAACCTCCTCCTTTACTGTCAAACAGTGGAAGACAAAAACAGCGACACATGAGGAAGATGATTGAAGGATGACATGCTGAAGCAGAGTGTGCATTGAGAGAAAACTAAACAAAAATTGCAGTTTAAAGATACACTTGTCAGATTATTTTTCCCCCAATTTCTGTTTAACAGAAAAAAGATTTTTTTCAACACATTCCTAAACATAATAGTTTTAATAACTTATTATATATATAATAACTGATTTATTTTATCTTTGCCATGACGACAGTAAATATTATTTTACTAGATATTTTTCAAGACACTTCTATACAGCTTAAAGGTACATTTAAAGGCTTAACTAGGTTAATTAGGTTAACTAGGCAGGTAAGGGTAATTAGACAAGTTATTGTTAATGGCTTGTTCTGTAGACTATCAAATATATAGCTTTAAATGGTGTTTAAAAATTAAAAAACAAACTGTGACCATTTCCTTGCTCTATTAAACCTCAACTGGGAAATATTTTATAAAGAAAAAAGAAAAAAAAAACTGTATATTGTTTAACTTTTTTTTACAAAAATTATTTTAAAATACTTTGTTTTAAAAAAATATATAACAACTGATTTATGATCTTTTTTAAAGTTTAATAACATCGCAACTCATTTCAAAATGTTTTAACTTGTACTTTTGTATTAATTGTAATACTAAACACTCTTAGAAATATATTATTGTGAATTATCATTAGCTTCATAAGGTTTAAATATGTATTCATAGTTTTTAAAAAACAAAAATTTCCTTTTTCAATTTCTGAATCATACAACAATCCAACAAATGATTCAAAAACATCCAAAATATTATTCACAGATGTCTTACAATTATATTCCAATATAAAACTCATTTAAAAAAACACTGTAAAAAATTATCTTTATAAAGTTTTTGTATTAATGTTAGTTTTTTAGAGATTAAAAAAATCAAGACTCTAAAAACAGTCAACCATCCAACAAAGTGTAGAAAGAGATTTTTTTTTTTCTAATTTTTACGTATTTTAAACATTCTAATAAACTTTAAAACTTGCAATGTTTCAATAAAACAGCATGAACTGTATAAACATAATTATTAATAAATAAATATTGTTATTTTTGGGGGGTCACCCTAAATGACTTTGATTTAAAGAACTCTTTTCATAAAAAACACAATTATTTAAAACTTTAAAGCACTTTTGATCAGAAAGTTATTGAAAACATACTGCTATTAACCATATAATCAAGTTACTAGTCATAGTGAAATCCTTTTTAAAAAAGAAGATATTAGTCACCTAAAAGCACATGCCATTAGTGCTTATAAACTAAATATATTATGATTAAAACATTGCAGCGTTCATAATTTATCAGCGAGCTGCATGAGAATTGCATAAATATTTAAGTATGAAAATACAAGTTGACATGATTTTCATTGTTGAGCCATTTATTTCCCCTTTCGATTACCATTTACAGACAGATCCACAAATCTGTGTGCCATAAATGCAACCGCCGCGTGTCTGAATAATTGACGATGACCCCTCCGTTTTATTAAACACTACTTAACCACTTGGCAAGCGCTTTAGGTGAAATGTTCAATATGACATTTGCTTTTCCATTGCTAATAAACATTAATTAATTAGAAGCACTTTCTTCCTTGCCTGCGCTGCGACAAGACAGAACAAAAGCATGAACAAACTATTCCTGATAACAGTCAGCATGAATCAGCTCACAGTGCAGGTGAAGATGTGCTCACGCAAGACAATCTCTTTACATTCTGCCTCAATATACAGCAAACGACAAATCTAAAAAAAAAAAATGTGTAAAAAATAATACCTCAATACAACACATGAGAGCGTCTCAGATTAAGGCTAGACAATACAGGCAAAACACAATTTTTCCGTTCATGCACTTTTGGGCTCAAATCTAACATAAAGATAACATTCAAAACATACTTTTAATAATTTCAAAATGTAATAATTGATAATGTCTAGCTGTAAATGTATGCAATACTGTGAAGTTTATTTTATTGTATTTTATTATTTTTATTAGTTATTTTACTTTACTATATTTTATCTATTTCTGTTGTAATTTTATTTTAATTTAACTTGTTAAATTTATTTTGGCTGCAAGGTTCATTATGGCATAAAATATAACCTTTATTGTAAAAAAAGTTTTGTTAAAGCTTGGGGAAAAAAAAGTCTTTGTCCGGTTATTTGCAACATTTTCAAAATTATGTACATTATGTACATGTACAAACATTTGACTACTGTGCTCAAAAATAATATATCTAATTATATATATTATAATTATATATTATAATAATTATATAATTTTTTTTTTTTTTTTTTTTACTGAGGGGATATGTCATTATAGCCTATGTGTAATTGGCCAGTCATATACAACCAACAACAATATATATAATTCTTTTTTTCTTTTTTTTTGTGTTGTTGTTCTATACACCAACACAATTGTGCAAGATGTGCTTTAACGGCAGATTGTCAGCTTTAATTTGAAAGTGTTAACATGCAAATCATGTAGGAATTACAACAGTTTGCATATGTGCCTCCCACTTGTTAAGGGTCCAAAAGTAATTAGACAAAATAATAATCTTAAATCTAACTTTCACTTTTTAATACTTGGTTGAAAAATCATTTGCAGTCTTTATCTTTGGTTATTTGCAACATTTTTTTTAATTATGTAAAAACCTTTGACTCTAATATGCTCAAAAATAATAAATAAATAAACAATAGAATTGTGAACCTGACAAATCCAAATTGTCTGGCTGTTGAAAGCATTCTAAATTATTGAGTAATAAAAATACATTTACAAAATCCCATTTTTTACTCTAATGTAAACCATAACAATAATAAAAGTGTCTGTGAATCTACAATTAAACAATTAAGTTCATTTAAGCCTAAGGTCTACAGTCACACAAAAAAGTCTTGGAGTTAATTTTAACAACGAGTTAAAGTTTGACAAGCAAATAAATTCAGTCGTCAAAAGTGGTTTCTATCAACTAATGAACACTGCCAAATTGAAGTCTTTTCTGTCTTTTAAGGATTTGGAAACCAAATTTGTAGTATCTCACCAGTTTTATCATCCCTTCACTGGCTCCCAGTCAAATCTAGGATTCTATACATGTTATTGTAATGTTTTTTTTAAGGTTTGAATGGTCTGGCATCTACTTACATTGGTGAGCTTTTTCATTGGCACACTTTATTGAGGCCAATCAGGTTGGAAAACCAGTTTCAGCTAGTTGTTCCCAAATCAGTTAAAATCAAGAGGTGACAGGGCTTTTTCTGTCACAGTCCCTCATCTGTGGAATGGTCTGCCTTTACATATCAGGTCATGCTCTTCTTTTGGTTCTTTTAAGTCTCATTTAAAAATCACTTTCTGTCTCTTGCTTTTAAATTGCAATTAATACATTTTAATCTGTTTTACATTTATTAATATATATATATATATATATATATATATATATATATATATATATATATATATATATATATATATATATATATATATATAATAAAACTAATGTATAGATTTTGTATGTTGGTCATTTTGTAAAGCACTTTGGTCAACATCTGTTGTTTTTTAAAGTGCTCTATAAATAAAGCAAACAACAATAACAAATGATATTAATCATCATCTTCATCATCATCATCATCATCTTGAACCTCACTTCATTCAATTTTCTAATTTTTTGTATCATTTGACCATTTATTACACTATTTTAGAAAACCTGCACTACACAAAAAACAATTCTTAATGTAATTATGTAATGTCATTATTATATTGCTTAAGTATGATGAGAACTATTATTATTATTTTTTTTTTTACACTTTTCAACTGCAGTGTCTTGCATTAACCTGCAAAAGGGATCACAAAAACAACAATCCGCAGTTTGACAGAGATGACGTTGTGAATACAAGGGACGCAAAGTGTTTGAAACGGGAACTGATCAAGCTCACCGCCTGCCACCCCAGCTATAAGACTCCAGCCCAATGCTATCTACATACAAGGCAAGAGGTTAACCAATATCTGGTGTAAGTAGAAAAGCAGTTTCCGCCCGCTCCCCAAACCTTGCTCAGAGCAATAAATAGATGGTTATTTGTGCCGTCAGCTGCCGCATAGATTTAAAGGCCGCCACAGATAACTCCTGGATTCATCTGGCCCCTGTCAAACATGAGCAGCATTACACACAGAACATCCGCTCTGGCACTTTCACTGTGGATTTACAGTAATCCAGACGGCAACTGTCCCTTTATGAGATGCAAATCCTGTGACGAGCCGCAATTGTGCATTCTTATCAAGGCCATTGTTAAATTATACAAAATACATCTGTGAGGAGAAAGCGTTTTTAAAACTTTATTTCGTGGCTGATCTAAATAAATGAATTGTCTAAATGAAATGAAAAATCTGGGGTTATTGTAGTTAAACTAAAATTCTATCTATCTATCTATCTATCTATCTATCTATCTATCTATCTATCTATCTATGGAAATAATTCTAATTTAACAATTGGTTAAAATTGTTTCTTGATTTTCTTTAGATTAAACTAAACTAGTTGATTCCTTCTTTTAAGACTAGCCATAAATTCTAATAAAGTGAAAACACACTTTCCCTCACATACCTATTCTGTATAATTTAACAAGGAATGGCTTGAAAAATCAATTACATTCAATCCAACCTAATTATTCAAGTCTGCAACTGATTTTCTTTTGGTGTATATTGTTTTAAGCTTGTAAAAAGTACACAAATGTCTTCATGGCACTAAAATAACACTGGTATACATACAACCAGGGGCGGATTTAACCAATGAGCAAGGTAAGCGGGACACCTGGGGACCCCAATAAATGTCTAGAAATATAAATTACACTTCTAAACTATATAGAACATTGATTTTCTACCATATTTTGTTAAACAAATACAATTTTAACGTAATGAAATATTATTTAATATACAATCAAATATAATACTATTATAATAATGTAATGTTATGTAATAATAATAATTTAACAAAATAAAATATTTATCATGGAACAGTCCAGCAGTCAAATTTATATATATATATATATATATATATATATATATATATTAAAAAAAAAAGTAGATTGAGTGATATATTAAAAATAAAATAGAAAAACAGCAATATAAATAAATATTAAGTAAAAGTTGAAAGGGTGCATTTCAGGACTTTGACCCTATGGCTGGAATTGCTTAGGGCTCCAAAATCACTAAATCCGCCCCTGATACACCAAAGATAAACATTAACACTTTCAGATGCAAAAATACCAGAAAACAGTTAACAATTTAACCTAAAAAAAAAAAAAAAAAAAAACACCTGGCAACATATAAAGAGCTAACAGTAACATCAGCTGGTGACACGTTCACCTAAAACACATCCCACTATGAACCACTGCATTCTCGTTTTCCTGGAGTCTTAGCGCCATCTGCTGTTCGTGGCGTCACAACACACAAACATCTCCACAAGCAAGTCTGCAAAACAGCATTTCGAGCTATTCAATCATCCCTCACAAGGACACAGAGCTCTTTATGCAACATCTGGATTTCATATGGATCCCTCCATTCAGCACCTGACCTTTCTCATGCACATGTTTTCAAGTCGATGCATCTGACCAGAACCCAACGCCGAAAAACTGTCATCGCGGCCCCCCTTCCCATCAATCCCGGCAATCTACAGAGAGAGCTGAGCCGGGCAGCTTTTGTGCTGTAATTCTGGTCGGAGGGGGGGGGGGTCAAAAGCAAAGAGCCAAAGCAGGCAGGTTGCACGAACCAATGAAGGAATGAGGAAAACAGAGAAGTACACTTACGTGATCTGACATATCCGTTAAACTTATATTTGGCTGAGGAAAATGAGAGGATATAAAGAGAGAGAAAGAAAGAAAGAGAGAATGAGGGTGAGACAGACAGCCGAAAGACAGTACATCACACTTACACAAGGACAGAAAGGAAGACAAGTCAAGTTAACGGCAGTTAGGATGATGAAGATAATGATGATTAAAGAAACAACAAGAAAAAAAAGAGGGACGATTGGTGGAAGGATTGGGCTTTAATGAAGCGATGAAATTCAAGCTGCCTGTTCAGCGTTTCCACAGCATGGATCCATTTTAAGAGTCAAATGTTGGATTGTGGGAGCGAGGCCTATGATGAACATACTGCACAAATCCTAACAACCTCAACAAGGATCATCGTGGCATTTGGAGTTCGGATGAGGAAGAGAGAACGCTTTGATAGGTCATAATTTTATTCGCGACACCCGGTTTGATGAAAACCAGTGAAACCGATCAAACAGATGTTAGCAATCTTGAGGCTTAAGCAAATAGTGAAACAACAAATTACAGATGTATTCCATCACGTAACTGCTTCTGTAGAAATTAAATGCTGCCGGCTGATCATTTCTGATCAGTAATTACTATCTTGTCAACTGCGGATGAATGCCAAACTGAAGGCATGGCAAGAAGGCAGAATAATGATGATTAACTGAACAAATGTGTGACAAGGAAAACAACCAAATCATTAGAGAACATGAACTGATTCTTTTGTATTGGTGAACTGTCTTTTCATGTTTATAATGAAATGTATTTTTGAAGGAAAATAATAATATGACAAGAAAATATTCAATGGCATACAGTTATAGAATTTTAGAAGTTATATTGGTCCCTCCTGGTCTCAATAAACTCCTAAATTGCTTAATAATAACTAGAAAATTGGTATTGGATTAACGATGTAGAATATGTGCTTTATAAGTACAACTAAACAGCAGATATTTTAATAATAGCCATTTAATAGTTCAATAGTTAACAGCGAGAATTGTTACCAGTATATTAATATCACAGTATATCAACTTACATTTTCTCTTTTCTCTTCTCATTTATTTAGTTAGATCTTTCAAACAGCGTACATTTTTTGTCCCCAAAAATTGCAGCAGACAATTACAATGTACAGTGCTCAGCATATGGAGTAAACACCATTTTGAGGATGAATATTTGTATCCCTTTCCCAGTAAATTTAGGCAATGCATTTTGGTGCATTTAAACAAAACACATTAATTAAACAGATATTTTTATTAAAATAATATTTTAGTCACTGAAAATCTTTAGAAATAGAAAAATAATGCATTGAAATTCATGTAAAATGTTGCAAAAAAAATGCAAACTACAAAATGTCAACAATTTTATTTAATTTTTTATTTTTTATTTTGCTCTTTTAAAATGTTGTATTTAAAATGTTTATCTTACAAATACATTTGGATGTAATGGGTCTAATTTATGGACCATTATCAAAACTTATTTTGTTAGATTAGCTCTAGATTTGCCTTCAGTCTTGACTAATCTAATGTATATGCACAAATATAATATTGTAAAGCTTCCTTTAGAACATATTAAATTAAATGAAAGATTTGTGGGGTGTACTTGTAAACACTGAGCACTGTAGGATGCTTTTGGATGCATGAAGCTTGCTCTGTGCTACAAAGTCTCATCTTTTGTTACGAGTACTGTATCTGATGCCATAAAGGTCAGAGCGCAGGCCCAGGGCAGGGCGGTGACACAAGCGCTCAAGCAGGAGCCTCACGCCGGTCCTGGCATATGTCGCTTGCGATCTGCGGGCGCAGGAAGAGTCGGCCGACTCTCTGGCTAGCATCTGTCCTACACGGCGGAGGGGATGACCGGCCCTGCTCCTGCCTGGTGGTAAGAAACTGTCAGCTTAAGTTTCATGACACACCAGCTGAGCTGGGGAAATGAAAATGCAAACATAATTTTCATGTCAGGCTGCATAAGAGCCAACGGTGCTGAGTTCCACCCTGCAAGGAGCGGACAAGATCCCTTCTATGGGCTGCGCCGCCCGGTTCCGCCCCTGCCGCGCTCGTCACATCCTTGCCAACTCCAAGAACCAACCAGATTACGCAGGAGGAGAGAAAAAAAAAAAAACGTCCCAAAGACTCAAATAGGAAAAAAAGGAGCTGTGACCTCTCTTCCTCTCAGTATGCTAGGCGATTGTTGTTTACAAAACAGCCATGTCTAGGATTGCCCTGCTGGAATCTTCCTTGTGAAGCCTCATAAGTTCAGAACAGGAATTAATACCCTTTGTGATTCTGAGCACCTTGAGAGTCTTTAAAGCTTGTGTAATGAGGGGATAAGTCTCGGCAGGTGGAGCAGAGGGACTGTTATTGTCATTGTAACTTAGAGTAGAGGCAGCTAACTCGTTCAGGATATTTGCTCCCTAAAGCCTGCACTTGCAGAGATAACAAACTCTTCTTAATAGTGTGCAGTGCACCAGAGCTATAATGAGAGCTCCGTTGCTCCCTACTACTCGTCAACGACTCTCTGGGCTTTGACTGCAGCCAAAAGAGAACAAAAGAGAAACACGACTGTGTCGACTATTCGTGCATCTCATTTTCATTCAAATAATTCTTTGTCTGGTTTTGGCAGAAAGGTGCATTACCATCCTGAGTGATGCATGCACGTAATCAGAACAAAAAGTGCATGAGGGCTGTTTAAAAAAGTGCCCATCAGGGAACATTACTTCTTTAAGACAGAGTGCATTTACTGCCACGCGTTTCATGCATTCAGCAAAATTACGGCATCCAGGGGAGTAGTATTTATTTCAGCAATAACAGGACTACTATAATGTGCAGGTATAAGATCACCATATCAGGCTTAGTGCGGGGAGGAGCTGATATTTATGCTTTCTAACCCATATAGGAACACACAATCTGCAATTTATTGGAGAGCGTCAGTAGCTACATTTCCAAGTCGTGAATTTAATTTATGCAGGGAAATATCCCAAATATGATTAAAATAAGATCTCACTTTTCTAAAAGAATAGAATCATAATTTTAAGGAAAGTTGGCACAAAAAGTTTTAGAAAGCGATGCAAAGACAGATTTAAATAAAACATAAAAATTCATTAAAAAAACAGGCCTATATATGAGCAATATCACACTCGTAGCATGTCTGCACTCGTGCCAATGCACGCCTCCCAGCAGTGCCGATATACAGCCATATCGCACTACTACTCGTATGATTTTGCTCATATTTTAATCATATATTTAATTGTGAATTGCAAATATGCACTTTTTTATATTGATAAATATATAAATAAAATGCATTAATGGAAAAAAAATATTTAAGGATTAATTCACTAGAAAAATAATAAAATTAATATTTACTAACACTCAAGTGGTTACACACTTTTACGAATTTCTTGTATCCATTCATTGGTATCCATAGATAAATAAAAAAATACACTATGGAAGTCATGGTACCAGTTTTTAATATTCTTCAAAAATATTTGTGGTCAACAGAGGACAGAAAAAAGGGTGAGTAAATCAAATGTTTTTTTTGTTTGTTTTTTTTTTGTGAATTTTCCGTTAAGTATAAATTAATTAAATAATTAATAAATTGATAAACAGTATTCTATAATAAGATAAATAAATAAAAAAACATCAAGCGAATTGCCAATTAAAATAAATGTAGTACACATTACAAAAAGAATTGAAACCCTTGCATCAAAAATATAGATGGTATTATTGTGGAGCACTTTTTCTCCCTTACAAAAATAAATAAGTAAATAATAATGTAGACTATGCGTCCATGCTTTTGTGTGCTTTCATCTGTTATTTTGTGATGTCTGGAAGACATCTGCATGAGGAAAAATCTATAGTAATTTATAATAAACAAGTTTTTGAAACACATAGTAAAGTGTATAATGTGTACAACCTTTTTGTTATTGAATGTAACAGAATACGGTAGTATAGTAAGCTGATAAACTGCAATAAATACTGCAACGTTTACTTAGTGTAAAGTGAAGTGCATCGTGATGGTATATAACAACTGAAGCCTTTTGAATAATGTGTTTATTACAGTTGTGTAGTACTACAGCAACAATATACGTAATTATCATAACAGTTTAATTCAAGTAGTTATCTACACTCTCAATAATAAAGGTACCTTTTCAAAAGGTACTGATTTGTACCTAAAAGGTCCATATTAATACCTCAAGGGTACATATTGTTACTTTAAAAGTAAAAAAAATGTTCCTCTTAATTTTTTAGGCACTAATTTACAAGTTTGAGGTACCAATATGGACCCTTTAAGTACAAATGTGTACCTTTTGAAAAGGTACCACCGCAGTGACAGCTCGCGTACCTTTATTTCTGAAAGTGCATAGTATGCTTCCAAACACAATAGTATTTGTTTTTTCATGTAAAGTAATAGCTTATACAGTATCTATCGCCTCGATGACAGGCAAATATATTTTAGATCAATAGAAAACTTGGCCCTCTTCATGATATAAGGATCATGCCCAACAAATGTGATTATTTTCTATTTCTATCTCCTTTGAAATATTGTATAAATCGCAAAAATACAGTCTTTCCTCTCTGTCTCCCTTTTAGTTTTTTATCTTTTGCCCTCGATTTGAATTTTGCGTGGCACCAGGACCACTTGATTGAAAACAACCTATGTGGATCGACTGCAGATCAATTGTGCTAGAATAGAATAGGACTAACAAAGTGACGACATGTTCAGAGAATTTAGAAGAAAAATCATTACTGACAATCATAAGTCAGATGAAGAAACGCTGTGAATTCCTCATCATAGAGATGTAATGCTAGATCTGAGGCAGAACCAATGCGAGAATCAAAACAAAGCCGCAGCTGGCATTAGCTGTCAGTCTTAGTCAACACGCACTTAGTCTAGGCAGAAAAAAACAGCAGCAATGAAAACAAATGAAGGCTGACACTACGTGAAGAGATCAGTAACTATGTAATGACCAGTAACTGGTTTCCAGGGATATGACCACAAACCAAAACACAAGACACAAAGTCAACCTCATCATAGTGTCTGATGCTAATCTAAAGTGATGTGGCGAACAGTCGGAAGGCAGTTGTAGAGGAAATGCGATCGCCTGAACTGACCCCTGCTTTTATAGTAGGTCGCACCGCTGCCATTCCTAATTGACAGACGCTTTAGTATTTCACATCTGCTACGGCTTAATGAGAAGACCCCTGTTCGGCGCTGTCCTTTACACAACTAACTGCTTCAGTCATCTGACCTCATCCAATAGCCTGAGTCACTGCCATCTCAATTGAGTTCCTGTCAGGAGATCTCTTTTTAACTTTCCCATTGAGCCTGACAGTCCCACTGTGGTATACAAGGCATTAAATAAAGCACATTGACTTTTTCTCCCCTGATTGCTGGCTAAGAGAAAATCATCGAGGAGGATCAGATCCTGTGGAAAGGGGGAGAGTTTGATGTGTTTTTTCAATTGCACCTAAACGTGGACTAAAGGAAGAGGTTTTATTTCAGCCGGTGGAAATGGTGGAGGCATTAATGGCTTGCGGTTGTAAAACATGATTGTCCAAGAATAGCACAACAGACATTGCCAGTATATACTTACTCTTTATAAACAGAAAAGTACAGAAAAATCTCACTAAAGATCCCTTTCAATCAAAATCTAGCATCTGGCATGCAAATTAAGCATCATTTTAGTAAATTACAGGCTCATACAGTTATGACTGCTTTTCACTTACTGATATCCTTTCAATTTTGATGAACAAATACAGTCAAAAAGGATCTTGACCAGTGAGATGGACATTTGAGTGACATTTGCTTGTTTTTAATGTGACAGACAGCCTGATCTTACAGAAAAATGTAACTACTGCATTCGTACAATGTCATTTGTCCTAAAAATGCATCATTTTTCAAACAAATTTGTGCCCGTAACCCTGCCCCTAAACATAATCGTCAATAGGGGTGTACAAATGAGATTGTACAAATTCAAACAAATTACTAAACATTAAATTTTAAAGTTCCGAATTACTGTGAGATTATTTTGAGACAGCCCATATTTAATGAACACATTACAAATTCAAAGAGTGTGGATACCCGGTGTTCGAACCTGGGGGAAAAAAAAGTTAGCCATTCATTAGCATTTTCCTTAACCGTTAAACACTGAACACATTGTGCAAACATCATTAGTTTCAATGTACACATTCAGCCCATGGATGTTTTGATTAAAAAGCACATCATATAGGTCACATGTACATCTGCCATGTAAAAGTGTAAACACCAAAACAGTGACTGCAGAAGGTCACCGGCACCGCACAAGTGCTCCACCAACACAGCATGCGCCAACACAGTCTTACTGCACCTACTGCAGCGCTAACACAGAGAAGCCACGTCACTTCAACTACCACCAACTCACCAAACAAAAATGTACTAGTGTACCAACCAATAAGCCACAGGTACAGAAAAAATGGAGGAACGAAACAGACGTAAAACACAGCACATGAAACACTGCACAGACACACTCACAGTTCACGGACATCGAACGGCATGTGATTTGGCGATCGAACTTACAGGCACGTAAACTGGTTGAGCAATCATGAACAGAGACAGAAGAAAGTGGGAAGGCCCTCTGAAGGCTGTCCATGTTACTATGTACACTGCCTGACATGCACGAGCAGTCGCGCTCAGAGCGCCCGCAATCAAAACAACATGCCAGTTTCATTCGCTTGTAGACGGACATCTTGGCTACAGTCATGTGTTGGATGAGAGGAAAGGAAAGCAGCAGGTTAATGGCAAGGAACAAAAAGAGTTTTTTTCAACCAGGGAAGTCTGAAGGTAACTTTTTCAAACAGGAACAAAAAGTGCAATGCCTTAGCAGCAAGCTCTGACAGGCTTGACCCGCAGATGGACCACTGTGTTCCCGCTTGCTTTTTGCTTTGCTTTCGATTCTGTTCATACAGCAATGGTGATGTACGGTCCAAATGTGTTACTACATGCCAAATTTCACTTTGGAAACTTCCGAATGAGGGCTATTGTGGCAGGAAGCAGTCGTCTCATTGGGGTCAAGCCGTGCCCTAAGGCTGATCATGTCATAAAAGGTCAAAAGGTCAGATATGACAATATGATCAGGAGTTGGGGCAAGGTACATTCAGGCAGAGAGGAATGGGTGAAGGTGTTCAGCAGCAAAACCTCTTTGGATAACATCCTCTGTATCTAAAGGACAGGATCACGTACCTGAATCCCATCATGCAGCAGCAGGTTATTGGCATCACAACGTGCTACAGGCTCAAACGTGGGTGCTCTATTCTGTTCGTCAAACTCTGCTCACCACTGGGAGAATTGTGTGGTAACATGCCAAACGGCATCTCCTTCTTTCTATGATTGGAAGATGCATCCCATGCATTGGGCATATTTAATTCAAACATACAGTACATGAGAAGAATATGTATGCGTGTCTGCATGTTTGGAACTCTCAAAAGAGCTTTAGTGAGAGACTATAGCAGCATTTGATTGCTGTGAATCAAACTAAAAACAGTCCCTGGTACACATTCTCCTGGTGCCACCTTGCTAATGGACCATAATCCAGTCTGGCACCCTCAAAAGAGCAAACAATCCACAGGGAAAAGCCTGCTTTTGACTTCCATCTGAGGTTATGAGCCTGAATTAAGAGGCCAATTTCAGTTGTATGCTGGAGAGATAATACGGTAAATGACTTGGCCTTTAAAGCCATAACCTCAGGGACTGTTATTCTTACAGGACCATGCAGAAGAGCTGAAATTAAGGAGAACAGGCATGCAGAAGGAGGCGACCACGGTCATATCTCTTATGGTTAAATAATACGGCAGCCCGGTCTACTGTTTATGGGGCTGAAACAGATTAAGGCAATGCGAAAACATGCAGCAGCGGGGCTTCTACTTAATTTCATGCTGAAATCTGTCGCTTCAGAGTTTGAGGGTTGACATTCATCGGAGCACATAGTATGTGGTTATGTTAGTCAGTGAGACATGGAGGGCGGAAGAGACACATGACAACATGATGATGTGAGTTGACTGAACATGACTACACAGAGAGCCTAATTACTGAAGCCTCTTTAACAGAACTAGCCGATTTAGCAAGAATGCTCTCAGCATGCCTATCGACTTTCCTTTCCTGACATTGTCCCGTAATTCAAAGCAGGCTGCGTTAAAATGCTAACGTACAGTACAGGAACACATTTGCAGTGTTTGGTGAATAGATGTGATAACAAAACATACATTAGATACAGTTCAAACATGTGCGCTTAAAATACTAATGCAACCAATATAAAAGCTAACAACACCCTGGCTCCTTGGGGAGACCTACATAAAGAAATCCATTTGACAAGTGAGTAGACCCTACAGTGTACACCGGCTGATAGCATTCTTGCTAAATAGGTTCATGAGGCCCTCAGGTTTCCCATTCTGTTCCATTCTTATTTATTGAACTGCAGTGGCATCTAGTGGCCAGTGCTGTGTACAGAAGCCAGGTCAACAACACTGTGAGCCTAATGTTGTGAGATGCATCAGTAAGGGCAGTGAGTAAAAAAGGGCCCGACTACTGAAAAGAATTGAAATGCAACACATTTCAATTCTTGCCGATGGTTCTCGTCTTGTGTAGGGAGGCTAAGCAGGGGCCGGAGCGGTGGAGACAAAGGGGAGGCTGTAGGCAAGAGGGAGACCAGATTGTTTTGATTGTGTTTTGGAGACGATGCTCGTTAAGTCTAAGAATTCGAAGAACTTCCCAAAGAACTCTTTCTGCTCTCTGAAACTACAGCAGCATGCGAAATTGCATCTGACAGTGAGGGGACGGATTCAAGTCGACTCAACCTCCCCTTTGGCACTCGGAGGTCCATGACTAATAGTAGCAAAATCAATCGGCTTGTTTGACTCTTTAGATTGTCATGACAGGTTTCGTTGAGTTTCGAGAGGATCTTTAATGTATCTCCGATTTCTGAAAGCTGCTGTGAGTAAATCTTTTAGGAGGTACTGTGTTATTGGTCAAGGCCTTATTCTTCTCTGCTTTTAGAGACTGGTTGTGTAGATGTCAGGGCAGGGTCGTTTTCAGGCCAGTAAATCCTGCCATATTACTGTTTTGGGCTGACGACAGTGGAGAGATGAGAGGTGTAGGAGGGATGCAGCAGCTAGACTGATACATGCAACATAGATATATAGATATATAGAACTATTATCAGAGTGAGACAGTTAGAGTGTACTCTGGGCCACAGGAAACCCGTTTTTACTCACAATATGTCACTACCAGTGAGAAGTTTAAATAATGAGGTGATATTCCAAGGCAGCAAGGAAGGAAATACATCAAAAAGTGCGTCAATGATGATAAAGAAGTTGAAATAAAAGAACACAAACTTCCATTAAACCTAACGTATGTGAGGCTACTGGCCTTGTTTTGGGAAGGTTTAAATCATTAAAAACATGTGAAAACAGAGTAATAAAAAAAAACTTTTAGCTGAAAGTTACACTATTAGGGTGCTTTCACACCTAGATATTTGTTCAGAACCTGTCTTGTTTGCCCAGTTAGTGAGGTTCAATCAATCGGCCCGAGATTGCCTGAATGTCTCAATACAATTTAAACGAACTCTGGAGCAGATCGATTGTAGTGAGAAAGCAAACCGATCCAACAAAAAAGGTTATATCACAGTGTATTATGGTTATGAATTATGGTTATATAAAGAGAGAATGATGAATAGGGCGGGATGTCATTTCTACCAGTAAATGTATGTTTCATGTCGCATACAATAATGAAAGCATGCTGAAATATCAAAAAAGAGCTATATGCTGTTAGGAAAATTGACTGAAATTACCATCTGATAATTTTTCCATATTTTAATCTTATATATATATATATATATATATATATATATATATATATATATATATATATATATATATATATATATATATTTTTTTTTTTTGTAGGCCTATTGTTTTGTTTATTTCTGCACTGACACTTAGAAAGAAAGATCAACTATGATCTTGGTTCAGAAATGAGGCTGTATGAGAAAGTCTTACCTCTCTGATTTATATTTGGTGACAATGTCTGTGGGTGTCAAAATGAAATCGCACCTTTTCGCTAATAAAGTCTTATTGCTCATAATCATAAATTAAAATAAGTGCGTGACAATGAGCTAAATCTGTGGAACTCGTTTTTTAAACATTTAGAAACTTTGCAAACTGCATCAAGAACAAAGTGTAAAATTGTAACAATTTTAATCCCTGTTTCGAAACAAAACAATTCATCTACAGGTGTGAAAGCACCCTTATTTAAAAGTGTAGGGGAGTTTTAGTAGAGAGATTAATACTTGTATTCAGTAAAGACAATTTCCAGTGTTTGAAATAAATAATATTTTTCTATTGTAAAAGTATTAAGCGCAACTATCTTCAACATTTATAATAGTACAAAAATACCTAGTCAGTAAGTTTGAGATATTAAAGACTGGAAGAATAACTGATGGAAATAAAGGTTGGCCATTACAGAAATTAGTTACAATATATTGACTATTTAAATAAAAAACTATTACAAATTGTAACAATTCTCGTTCTTGATCAAATTAACACAGCCTTGGTTATAAGTGATTTCCTAATAAAAAAGGCAGTTAGTGTTTGAATGCTATATATATGTATATAATTGTGTAAGCATAGAAACCAAACCAAAGGGTCTGCAATTCAAAAGGCAGCTGTTTAAGAGTGCGCACTGAAAGGTCACTGGGAATGAAGCTGAATTATTCATCTTGTGGCTAACTGGTTTGGACAAATGCTTATATAGGTCATGTAATAACAATGCATCATTTCAATATTAATGTTAATGTTTGCTCTACTTACATATTTCTTCAATCTACCTACTGTAGCAAACAGAAGGGATGTTGCTACATCAACTGTATGTATATATATAAATATAATTATGAGGGTGTTTAAAAAAATACATTTCTATCAGATGATATAAATGTCTGCAGGAGCGGTTCTGACAGTGGACTACACTCTGAGCTATTAATCTCTCTTCTACTTCAGTGACTTGCTGTCAGAAAGTGTTTTCGCTGGGCTGAGGCAGTGGGACATGACAGTGGCGCGTCTGAACGGCACTTGCATAGGGCGTTCTGGGTAAACAGGGTGGATATGATTGGTAAAATGATCCTGGGCCAGGAGTGTGTTTTCGGTGTGTCTGGTTTCGATGGGCCAAGCTGCTCTTGCCTTTTGTTTTTCCACCTGACTGGTGTCATTACCTCCGCCTCTCTCTCACTGACGCCACTGTGAGCTGACAGCCTCTCTCTTCAGCCCTGCTAATCATGTCGTTCCCTCTCTACATCTGTATCTCCCTCTCCACCATTAGCATGCTGATGACTGCCTTTCCTCAAGAGTCACACTCTTCACCTTGTCATCTTTCTCCCTCCGTTTCTGTGCTTCCAATTTGAAGCTAGACTCCTTTATATGAAGTCTCTAGTTTGTTGCCATCTTCTTTTTTTGTGTATAGGGTTCTTGTCAAAAAGAAAAATATGCCCTTTTTTGTATTAGCTTTTTTTGGTTGCAAGGCAAGGTTGCAATGAATTTGGTAAATAAATATAGTATAAGATGTATTAGATTTGAATAAGCTTAGAATTTACCGTTAACATTTTCAGCTTACTACTGAACATTCTATCATTACTAATGTAACTGTGATGGCATTGTTTATAGAGCATTTTGATGGATGCAAACAAAAACAATGGTCCCAATGTATTTCCTGTTTTACATTTTTTATTTCTATAGCTTCTGAGAATCCAAAAAGAGTCACATATTAATAAATAATGCTATGATAGCTGTTTTAACATTAAGTTATGATTGAATTGCCTCTTGTTACAGTTATGAAAAACTTTGATAACAAGCAGGAAATGTTCATGGGCCAATGACATCATCACATTGAAATGGTCTATAATATTTTCCTACTGATTTGGAATCGGTCTGTGTTACATCTCCCTGCGTATCAAACAGATTTAATCAGTCAGATATTTTGGGATACTTTGCTCTGGTATTACAAAGTAGAGTACATTACTTTTACTAAAGCATGAGACAAGATTTTATGTTTTGAAAGTACAATTGTTTAATGTTTCTTGCTTCCCTAGGCTGCATTTATTTGATGAAAATTTTGTAAAAACAAATAATATTATGGAATGCTAGGATTGAAAACAACATTTTGTAACTTATTACTGTAATGCCAAAATCTTAGAAATCATTCTTATATTAAAGGTACAGTAGGTGAATCAGAAATAGATTTTATTGTGCTGGTTGAAAGTCTCTTAACATTTCTATAGTAATGATTAAAGTAAATGATCTAAACGTATTTATATGTATTTTTGTATTCTGGATAAGGCATAAGACTAAAAAATGTTCATCTAATTAAATGTCGGGGTGACAATTCCCATAATTCTCTTAAGTAGCCCAAACTGTCTGTCAACAAATGTAGATTTGTACATCTGCAGCCGTTTATGCAGATCTGCCATTGATGTGATTGATGTGACTATTTTCAATTTCATAAGGTACCTTTTACAGCATGTATAATGTAGATTTTAAAGTAAATAGCGCTATTCTGCCTAGCCTGCAGTACTGTGAATTTTCTTTTAAATTCAAATCACATTGGCTCATTTTTGAACAATGACAACCTGTGACAGAATTTATATATTGTTTACCATGCTACTTTGAAAATTCTGTCTGAAATAGCATGTAAGTATGGTTTAGTAATAAGGGTAATTCCTGCATGCCGCCAGCCAATCACTAAGCATGCAATAGTTGCTTTAGGACAGCATGTGAGAGAGTGAAACCAGCGATCCTTGCATGCATGAAATATTGCACATTATGAAAAGTTTTGCTTGCTACACAAGTGAAAAAGTGCTGGATATAATACAGTTTTTCTTTTAGAATTGTAGTATTATAAAGTACTATAAAGTTTCCTAACTGGTGAATGACATGAACTAGTGGGTTGTCTATTGTCATCCTTAAGGTGCGTGTTCATGGTATTATTCGTGGAGTCGTGGCTTTGGACGGCAGAGGTGGGACTGTGTTTCAAAGATATTGCACTAAAAGGTTAGCATTTTGGCAGATCATCTAATGCACCTTTAATAATATTTTAAATATTTATCACTAATTTAACCAATTTACATTAAACCCTGGACAGATCACAGGATTTTTATTGTCAGTTAAGAAAATCAGATGATGTTAGATTATGTGATTTCTTTTTTATAAAATCTTGACTATTTTATTTTTAAATATTTATTTATTTTTTATCTTATTTTAATCTTAATAAACACTTATGCTTGCGGACAACTAATAACTACATTATTTAAGGGCATTCATTATGACATGGATGGGATCAAACTTAAAATTTCTTTTTAATATAAAGATATTTTCTTTGAAATCTGTAGTCTTTTCTTTTGAAATGTGTAGTCTGGAACATTTTTACTTAAAACAAGTCAAGATTTTATCAAGAAAAAAAATTGCATAATCTGACATACAGTAGTGATTCACTGCTCAACTGTGATGGTTAATCGTGTTAATCTTTACCTTCACCTCAGGATAATTTAACATGTCTTTTCTAAATTCATTTTATTTTAATTTATTGTATTATTATTATTAGTACTGGCCTGTAACAATTAACTGGAAATTGTGTAGTGTAATTTTGTGCTTTTTCAACATGTCCATATTTCCTGTACTGTATATGCAAAGCTATTTTATGTATATTTACATTATTTTATTATACATAGTTTAATTATTGTATTTAATCATATTCTATATCAACGATCTATATATACAGTTTTGACTCTATGTGCACCTCTAACAGTGATGCAAAAACGTGAATTGGCATTTTATTTAATGAATTATAACTGAACTGTGACCATTAAATAGGAGTAGTCTGTTACGGTATTCATGAAGTACAAGGCTAAAATTACTAAGGTGTCCTACTGTTTCTGCTGAGTTTCTGAAGCGTATACCTGATTTACACTTTACTGTCCTACAGTATAAGACCCTGGGAGAAGGGAAACCATTAGATACTATAATATTAAAAAATAAAAATGGCAGGAAAGTGGCCCCTTTTTGAAGTGCAAGCATGGTTATGAATTAAGCTGATATTTTTTACTAGCACTTTATCAGCACAAAGAACTAAAAAGCTAAAATCTGAACTTTAAAAGTTATACTTGTACTAGTGCAAGTGTACTTTATACTTTTAGACTGATTTTCAAAAACAAAACTAAGTCTATAATGCTAAAGAAAACAATATCTAACAGGTTATCCAATGTAGCAGTGCCTTACAAATGAAAAAAAAAAAGAGGAGTTGGCGGACACTTTCTGTTCAGAATAGCCGGGTGTACTTACTTCTCTTGCAGCCACACTTTTTAATCCGTTTGGGATCTGTGATGTCATCATGACATGCTTTGCAGTAGAAAAATGCTCTGAAGAGAGACAGTAAAGAATTTAATATTCTGCTTTAAGTGTGCGCTTCGCATTTCAGCTTTCAAATGCATCTAAAAAAAGAAACAAATAAATAAAAATCAAATAAAAGCTGATGGACTGAGTACACTTACCTTTTCACTTCTTTGGCATCACTGGCAATAAAGAATCCCAGTGTCCCCTCCTGCATTTTAACGTGATTTCCCGGGTTGATCAGAATACTGTTCAATCAGAAAGAGAATTATTCTCATTAACATGAAGAAAATCAATCTTGCACATTCAAACACTCTAATCAAGAGGAATGGTACACTTTTTTGGACCTTGCTGAGAAGACTGATGAGAAAACATGAATATACTGCTTTAGATTGTATACTGAAATTGTATTTTTTGTTCAGAACCGCTGCAGGGCAGGGACCGCTTCAAGAAATACTGCTTAGGCCACATGAACACATTATAATATACAACATAATGACTTTTTTCTTAGCTTGAATAGTCAGAGTGATGAGACAGAAGAAAGAATTAAAATTGGGGTGGTGACCATTGATGTTTTGGCCTTCAGAAACACAGAGTGAGGTCTACTGCCACACAACAGTGCAATAGAATTCTTTCTTTAGTGCAGTGGAAAGCAAGGGAATGAGCAGCCCACCAAGAGTTCAGGGTGAATCTCTGAATCTGCAGTAAAAGCAGTACTAAAACAATACATGCCATGCTGTTTTACTCAAAGTTGCTTTTGTGCAAACAGGATATACATTTTGTACAAATATATAATCTCGTTTCATGACATTATAAGTATCATCTCATGAGCCAGCTTACTTTAAACATTGTTATTTTCTAATCACATCATTGAAAGAAGAAAATAAAAAGCACAGGAGCAGAGACTGCGTTACCAGAAATCAGCACCTGTCACTCTGGTGAAAGTTCCTGTCGTTTTCATTTTTGATCTGTCATCTTTATGGATTATTATATAAATTTGATATCTGCATGTAATGTAATCTTCCAATAGCCAAAATCACATCTTTGACCTTGGAGTATTTAACCATTAGTAGCCATTTAATACATAAAAATAGCATTAGTTTAGTATTTTAATTAGGACTTGACAGTAGCTGTTTCCATCCACTTATTTTTATGCGCATTTTGGCTATTCTCATTAAAAAAAAAACGGATGAAGGAAATGCCAAGATGTGCATAAAAAACATACGTGCATAACAGAGTAGGATGTAAACACTTTTACTGAACAAATTCCAGTAGGCTCACAAAAAAAAAAAATCACATGATTTTGTTATAAGAAAGCAAGAAAGAAAGAAAGAAAGAAAGAAAGAAAGTTTAAATTGAAAAAAGAGAAGTGAAAGTTCTAATGTCAAAAATGACAGCATTCTGCATCAATTGTTTCAGCTACTGTTTTCAGCATATTTTTAAGGTTTTTATTTTTTTTCCGAAAACTATTTTTTTAATATAAATCAGTAATGCAATTTTCTCAGGTTTCTTTGATTAAAAAGTTGTTTTTTGATAAGCCAAAGTCTTTTGCACTGTTGATTAATTCATGTGTCCTTAATGAGTGTATTTTAATAAACGAAAGAAAGAAAGAAAGAAAGAAAGAAAGAAAGAAAGATAGATAGATAGATAGATAGATAGATAGATAGATAGATAGATAGATAGATAGATAGATAGATAGATAGATAGATAGATAGATAGATAGATAGATAGATAGATAGATAGATAGATAGATAGATAGATAGATAGATAGATAGATAGATAGATAGATAGATAGATAGTAGGAAAGAAAGAAAGAAAGAAAGAAAGAAAGAAAGAAAGAAAGAAAGAAAGAAAGAAAGAAAGAAAGAAAGAAAGAAAGAAAGAAAGAAAGAAAGAAAGAAAGAAAGAAAGAAAGAAAGAAAGAAATGATAAAAAAACATTCCAAAAAACATTATGGAAAGTTAGATTTCAAAACAACAGTTTGTAACTTATTACTGTAATGGCCACATTTTAGAAACCATTATAAAATGAATAATATATTAAATGTTTTTAATCACTGCTCAACTGCGATTGTTAATCATGCTTATCTTTACCTTGACCTGATCAGTTGTGTTCTGTCTGAATTAAAGTTGTTGTTATTGGTGTTTTCGTTTTAAAGCACTGGCCTCTAACATTTGAATGGGAATTGTGTTGTGTAATTCACAAAAAATCAGTAATGCATTTCTCTTAAGTTTTGTTTGATAAATATTAGTTTCTCAATAAGCCATATTCTTTTGCACTTTTGATTAAATCATGTGAGAAAGGAGTTGTCAAATTTAAAAAGACTTCAAATGTCAAAATGACAAAGCATTCTGAATCAAATTTAAAACCAATAGATGACAGGCCATTTTGGTTAATACAACCTCTGCTCTGAGGTTTGGCTCCTAGAGCTTGTTCAATTCCAGCCTATTGTAAAAAAAAATATCAGTCACTGTCAAACCTAAGCCTGTGATGTCAATGTCTCTGTGTGTCTTCCCTTGGTGGGTGAGGAATTTTGGATGTTTATGAATCCAATATCAGCTTCTGTCAGATATTTGGGAGAGTCTGGTTTGTACCAGTACAGGTTCAACAGTGTAGACAGAGCCACTACTGAACCGCGGTATCATTCCCCATTAATTAGACAGAGACGGGACGACACAACACAGCCATCAATGGTTGCCAGCTGTTAGGAATTATCAATTAATTTAGTGGTGGCTGCAACATTTGACAAATGCCCAGCATGACTACAGCGCCAAGGCCAGAAAGCCCAGACGAAAGGGAAAAAGACTGTAAAAGTTTCTACTATTGCAGAAATTTAATAAATCGGCGGCCAGTATGACTGATATCCATATACTTATTTACAGTTTGATATGCGCAGTCTATCAAAACCCTTTCCTCTGGGCTTGTCAAACAGCCACCTTATCGGAAATGAAGGCCGAAAGAGGGGGATTTAATCCATCATAAAGCGGAAGTTGGCTGGTCAGTTAATGAAAAATGTCAGAAAGTGCTCTGTCTTGCTTGAAATCTCTGTGCTGGGTTATTTATCACTTAGCTTTACATCTGATTAAATAGCCCCCTTAGCGAGAAGCAGCACATTTGACATGCCGTTCAGTAGACAAATACAAACAGACTCACTCACTGACATATTCACACACACACATGTTGCTCCCCAAATTTGAGATTTTTATATGATTTAGCAGAAAAATCAGACAGATGCCTTATGCAATGGGCAGATAAGACCGATTGCATGCAAACAGAGGCTCTGTTCAGATCGAAACCTCATATTATGGGAAACAAAGCAAGCACCAGACATCACGTGACACAGTGTGCAGGCATGCGTTTACCAAGAGCGTCACAACCATCGAAAAGAGAGCAGGTGCAGCCACTGCACAGCGGCACGTAGATGCAAACTGTTGCAGTAACTTCTGTGCAGTTGGATTGTTGTATAGAACACCAAACTGACAGGAAGTGACCTCACTTCATAAACATCTACTCAGAGACGCACAGGCATTTGGGGACATGATGGACGTCAGTTCCAGACAAATACTGACAAACATATTGACCATTCAATCACACTTGACATAATCAAAGCATATACAGATACAAATGCCACTCGCTCCGACACACACACAAAAAAAACACACACACACAAACGGAATATAGTGTTAGGAGTGGTAATGACAGAAAAGGCAAAGATGATCGTCATGAATAGTGTGGCCTTTACTAACCAATCAGCGGTATCAAAACTGCCATATTGAGACAAACAATAGTATTTTCTGATAAATATATATAATGCACTGGGTACTGTTGGTTTCCTATTAGGGGAGTTTTTGTCAGTGCATTATGAAATAAGTAAGAAAACATGAAGTACTGTTCGTATGGAGAGCACGATGCTGAATAAGACATGGGCAACTGATGAACACTGAAAAAGAATCAAACAGGGGGAAATGAAAGAAGAGGAAATTGAGAACAAAAACCAGCGATGAACGAATATAATGTGAATAATGCTGTGTTGAAATGTGAACAGGACAGACAACGGAACAAGTGAATCGAACAACAGCAACTACTCTCTCTGCCTGCAAAGAAGTTAGTGCATTAAGCACAAAGAGAAATCACAATAAGAAAGATAGCGGATATTTTGGCCATTTTTTTTGATCGGGAGGTGGAACAATATCCTTAAGCTTTTCCCCCACAGTTGATCTAAAGTGTAGAGGGGTGAGATAATGAAGAGGGCATACCGCTTTCTGCTTCTGCAAACAACAAGAAAACATTATAAATCAAACATAGACTGGGAAAAGGGGAGACGAGGTGTCAGTCATCTGTATCTGCACATTAAGATCAGGAAAAAAATGCCAATCTATAAAGTAGAGGGCAAAACAATCACTTTAACCAATAAAAAAGTACTCTTTGCATTGGCTAACTTCTACAAAGGAAAAACGATGGTCTAAAATGCAAGTTTAGCCCAGTCCAGGACACCAAACTGAGAGTTATGCTAAAGAATAATGTTGTGCCCTCTAAAGGATTTGCCATTATATGTGGTATGGCAAAGTTATTAGCCAAAGTTTAACAACCATCCATAATAAAGTCATCAAATTATATGAGCTGTATCACACAGAGTGACAGTGAAAAAATAACTTGGTTTTAGAGCCAATGCGTGTGCTGGAATGGAGAACACTGAGCCCGAGCGGCACTTTTATGTGATACTGGGGAAAAAAAACAAGGTTCTGTGTAACATTGTTAGCAGTAAATAAATAAAAAATAAAAATCTTAAAAAGTTTATCACGGCTTTCAATATAGATCTCTCTAAGAAGACAAAATATCAGTTTTGGTGGGCGGTATGAGCAAAATATTATTACATATTGTATTTTATATATTTACATTTGTAATTGTTATATATGAAGTATGTATTTCAGGAATATATTGATATACCACAGGCCCGTAGCCAGCCTGGTGAAAGGAGTGTTTTTTTTTTTCTCAAAATTTGGACCTTTCTTGCAGTTATTTAATCTATTTAATTATGAGGTTTAAATACTGCATTTTTGTGGCATTTTAAGCATTATTTTTCGGTAAATTAACTTGTCGTATAGTCATGATAACCACATTTCCTAAAAATTTGTAAAGGAATGTTTAAATGTTACATTTTTTAAATACAAATTTATCAACTTGTATATCATTAGAAAACTAATAGGAATCTATTAAAGTTTTAAATGAAAAAAACGTAGCCTACTGTGATTTATTAGGTAAATAACAAACTGGCCACACATTAAATTTTCCTTAGTCAGAATTTGGACACTTGAATAAAAAAAAATTATAAAACATAATAATAATAATAATAATAATAATAATAATAATAATAATGTGGAGCTTCACAATTTTCTAGCCTTTCTTGTAAAAAAAAAAAGTACATTTGAAAATAACAACAATACCCAAATTACTATTCAAATTTATTTAATATGGTCCGCTTTTGGTGCTTCACAGCTTTTTAATGGTCATTTTTTGTTGCATGAACTACAAGGCTCAATATTTAGAATTAAAGTTACTTGTAGAATGTTTTCTCTATTTTAAACAATACAGTTGTGAAAGATAACTTATTCTAGCGCCTTTTGTTGTGAAGTGACAGCTGAGGACTCCACTTGATAGTAAAGCCTTCATCGGACAGATATTTCTAAAAAAGTATGGCAAAAATAGGGAATGGGAGGTCACGGGACAAATCAATAATGCCCAAGAAACAGGACGTCCTGGCTAACTCAGCCATTTAGTCTAGAACTTCATGGTAGTGACAGATTCTCATCTGTTTGGAAGCAAGTAACGTTAGCCTTATGCAGTTTCGCAGTCTTTTATTTATTTTATTTTTTAAGAGAGAGCTTTATTGCCAGGTATGTTCACACATACGAAGAATTTGTTTTTGTGACAAAACATCTACAGTGCAATAGAATTACAGAGACAGGACAAAAGAACATATAATAAATACATTGAACATATGTTCAATATTTTGCTGCCTGCTTTCTCTTCCATCTCTTTTTCTCGTTTCAACCCATGCGACATCCTCAGTATGGATGAGGATGTTGCATGAAAGATGCAAACATTACTCAGTGGGTTATGTCACGTGACTCGTGTCACATCATTGTGGCTTTGAGGCTCCAAGGGTTTCGAATTACTGGCCATAGTTATTTAAAATTACACTTTATTATAAAATATGTATTTTTAAAAAATTATGAAAAATTTTAACAAAAATAGTCAGCCACATACAAGAGAGGGCACAACAGCTAAATTCAACAGTAATTTGCTTGAAATGCAGAAACTTTAAAATTGCATTATGCCCTATGAATATCTTTTTAAAAATAATAAGGCAAATAAGACGTTGGCATTCCACACTTTGTCACAGTCTTACATGGAGTTCTATGTAACGTGAAGTGGTCGTAGCCAAAATTCATGATAAAACACAATGTTTACAGACACATTTCTAGTGTCCCAACATATATATATATATATATATATATATATATATATATATATATTCATACCACCCACTCCTATTTAAGGAAAGAAAAAAAGAAATGTTTTGGCTGATACTTGTGCTGTGTTTGTCTGTCTGTGTGTGTGTGTTTTTTCAGGCCATCTTGTGTTCTAGAAAACACTCATTAGTATGTACCATATACATAAAATGCATTAGTCAGAGTTACAGTGTACAGATACATTGGAACACAGGTTGTGGATGTGGGAAGGGGTGGTGGGATTTGGCAAAGTCGAAGTTACTGAGACAGAGTACTTCATGTTATTAGTTCCAATGGGTCACTTAACAGAATGCCACAGGAGTGCTATTGATAGAAGGCTTTTTACTCTGAGAGTAAACCCTCATCAATACAGCACAGTGAGTCTGAGCAGATGTCATGGCCCTTTGGCTTTGCGGTGACTCTTACAGTGATCGGCAACTGTGATGCTGTGAGAGTCAAGTTGAGGCGAACTTCCTCTACTTATGGAACGTAAAATGCTGCTGTCTCAATAAAAGCGATTTCAGTTTGAAACCAAATTTAATTGCTTGCTGAAAACTCTGCCTAAATTTCTGTCTAGCTAATAGAACTATAATGTAGAGGGTATGTAGAACCAATGAGGGACACAAATGCTTTGTCCCTCTTTGGTTGGTGTATTGTAAATGGCCAAGACCAACAGAGAACAAACCTGCTTTCCCTTTGCTCTGACTTGTACTCAATAGCGATCAACAGCAACTTGAGCTTCACGTAGCACAGCCTGAAAAAAGCAAAAATATATTAAGTGTACAGAAGAAAAACATTTAGCTAGCTAGATTCACATGGTGATAACCTTTAAAACTATTTCATGTTAATATATTGCCATCAAAACAAGGCTTTGAGACCCAGCTTGACATAATAGTGGATAAAAATCTAATTACTTTCAATTGGCTGTGTTTATGTCGTGCAGCAATTTCACATTCACGTTTGACTGATGTCAAACAAATGGCTTTGTTAATGAAAATGTACATCTGGATGTGCAGTACATCTGGCAGTATATAAAAAAGCAAGATCTTTATGGTACAATACTTACCACAAGTGTTGGGGAAAGTTACTTCTGAAATGAATGCATTATAAAGTTACTCTAGTAAAAGTAACTAGTTGCATTACTTAGTTATTTTTAATGATAAATATTAATTTACTTGTAATATTTAAATATGTTCTAATTTTTGAAAACTTAGTAATATTAAGTAAGTTTTAATAACTGATATGTCATAATAAATGTGTAGTTGCATGGGACTAAAGTAGGACTAGAATATTTTGAAAATAAAAGCAATCTTAGGTGTTTAAATTTAATAGAAAACTTGTTAGAGTTTAACCCCATTAGTTTTAAGATTAAGAAGAGTTTGAGTGAGTGTTTTTAGTTTTGTGGTTGCCACCTTTCAAAGTGTGGTAATTTTTTTTTTGTCTTGTTAGTAAAGTACAAAATTTTGTATTGTGTTCATACATGTGTTCAAAATAATAAATCTATTCTCTCATCTCAGTTTTATTTTAGCAATTTACTTTTTAAAAGCAAATTTTTTTTTTAAAAAGTAACTCAAATATTTCAACTAAATTTTTTTAAGTATTGCGTTACTTTGTTCGTTACTTAGAAAAGTAATATTATCACATAACTCACATTACATGTACCCCCAACGCTGCTTTCCACTATGTTTTTATATTAGGGGTGTAACAATACACCAATGCCACGGTTTGGTTCATGGTATTGGAGCCATGGTACGGTTCATTTTGGTTTCGTTTGCAGAGGGAGCACGAGTTGTGGTGCGGCACCAACAATTTAGTGTAATAGTCAAGCTAAATGTTCAAGCTAATACTGGCCAAGATGGCATTTCTGCATAAGACTGTATTTGATAGCAGCATGGGTGAAAGTGAGCACTCTTTAAGAGTCACTTCTACAATAAATGAGAACCACTTGTTACTATGGCTAATGAGCTGCCGTTTAAGTGAAGAGTTTGCATTTTTGGTTTCTCATCAAACATGTGCCACTTCTCCTTGCTGCTCTATTGTACATAGGGGTCTTATTCTGCAGTTAAATATGAACAAAATATATAAACCACGGTACTTTTAAAGTCAGTCGAGGTACCCCCCGTACCTCGACTGACTTTAAAAGTACCGTGGTTTATACTGTAGGGGTTGTACCATGTTTTTTCTAGTTTGGTTTGAATATCACTACACTCCTAGTTTGTATATAGATTAAGCTCTCATGCTTTAGACCGGAAGCATACTTACTCACAAACTGTAGGAAATGAAAGGCCGACAAAGGCACTAGACAGGTACTCAGTGTACATTTCATTGGCTACTCCTTCCAGATAATACTTCTGCCATGTGTCTTCTTCAATCTGAAAGTTCAAAACAGTTGGGTTCAGGCACACATATGTAACGTAGTGTGAAAGGACTGATCATCAAAACGGGTTTTTAAGTGGAAAATAAGCTATAGAAAACATGGTTTGTGACAATTAGATGCAACATAAAAAGGAAAGCTCACCTAAAAAAAAAAAAAAAAAAACAGAATCTCTCGCTACAATAATTTTGCTTTTGGGGGCAAAGATGTTGAGAGCAACCAACCAACCAACCAACCAAGCAACCAAGCAAACAAACAAGAAACTGCTGATCTACTGGCATTTTCATGCACGACCATCTCTAGGGTTTACAGAGTATGGTCCAAAAAAGAGAAAATGTTCAGTGAAAGGCAGTTTTGTGGGCGCAAATGCCTTACTGATGCTAGAGGTCAGAGGAGAATGGCCAGACTGGTTTGTGCTGATAGACAGCAACAGTAACTCAAATAACATCTTGTTACAGCCGAGGTATGCAGAAGAGCGTCTCTGAACGCACAACACATCAAACATTGAGGCAGATAGGCTACAGCAGCAGAATACCACACCAGGTACCACTCCTGTAAGCTAAGAACATGAAATTGAGGCTACAATTCACACTGGCTCAACAAAATTGCACAATAGAAGATTGGAAAATAATTGCCTGGTCTGAAAGTCTTGATTCCCGCTGCGACTTTCGGATTGAAGGGTCAGAATTTGGCGTTAACAACACAAAAGTATGGATTTATCCTGCCTTGTATCAAAAGTTGGTGGTAGAGGTCTAATCGTGTGGGGCATATTTTCTTGGTACACTTTGGGTCCATTAGTACCAATTGAGCATTGTGTCAACGCCACAGCCTACCTGAGAATTGTTGCTGACCATGTCCATCCCTTTATGACCACAGTGTATCCATCTTCTGATGGCTACTTCTAACAGAATAACACCATGTCTTCAAGTGTGAATCGGCTCAGACTTGTTTCTTGAACATGACAAAGACTTCACTGTACTCAAATGGCCTTCACAATTACCAGATCTAAATCCAATGGAGCACCTTTGGAATGTGGTGGAACAGGAGATCTGTATCATGGATGTGCATCTGACACATCTGCAGCAACTGCATGATGTTATCATGTCAATATGGACCAAAATCTCTGAGGAATATTTCCAGTCCCTTGTTGAATCTATGCCAAGAAGGATTAAGGCAGTTCTGATGGCAAAAGGGGGTCCAATCCGGAACTAGTAAGGTGTACCTAAAAAAGTGGCCAGTGAGTATAGGGTTCTTTTGTATATGTACTAAACTTTCTGTGTATTCCACTATGCAAGCAAATAAATACACTGAGACCTGATAGTTCTCTTTTCTTTGCCAGTATCATTCATCCACACTTGTGACATTTCAACCTTTGTCAGACTTTGAAATTAAAGACCAGGTATATTCTGATGTCTGGGCTCACAGCTGGTCTCTTCATCATGCTCTCATTACGTGTGTCTCAGGATGTGGGGCGGTTGGGGCTGTGATAAGCAGCGGGGCTATTAGGCAAACACTAGGCCATTAGTCAACCATCTCGCCCAGCCAACCTCTGTCTGACAGACAGTCAAGAGAGACTCTTTCAAAGCCCGACCCGGCTTTTTTTTCCCTCTGCCAGTCTAAGAGTACCTGCATTCTGGGCAGGCATCTTTTAGGGCGTCACTAATGGGTGGAGTTTTGTCATTTGGTCCAAAAGAGATGGCAGAAATTTACCATCGACTCTCTAAATTACCTAGCACATTTGCGCCCTGCCTGTCAGAACTGATGTAAGTGTTACAAGTTCTTTTGCACAATTATTTCCTCCTGTCCCAAGGAGAGCCTGCTCTGAGTCCCCTTTGCTTACTGCTTTCTTGTTAAACTTGAGGAGATTGCATAAAAAGGTTCTTGGGGGTTTTATTCTTGGCAATTGGCACAACAATTTGGAGGTTTATATTTAGGACAAGAGACATAATGCAAATGTGTTTGTGGCTGTGTGAACGTGAGCGTCTCTTGGGTGCGGGGCTCATTAACACCTCTTGCTAACACCCTTCTGCTCCGCTTCCTGAATGCCCACTCAAATCAGTCATGCTGCCGTCTACTCAGCTGGCCCTTTCTAACCCTTCTCCTTCAGCAGACAGACTGGGCCTTATACGCTCCCACACACTGCACTTGTCTTTCTATTTGGAGTCTCAATGTGCCTTATTTGAAACTGCTGATAGAAATTGACTTTTGCTACGTGTACATGGCAATGATGTAGCCAAAAACAGACCGAGCATTTTCAACGAAACTTTCACTTTTACTAATGCATTAAAATGCTGTATTATATATGCCAGGCCAGTATTTGGCACTGTCACCTTGTCAGAAAACAGTACCTGTAAAGAAGTGACAGTGTGCAGATTGGAGATCCGCAGTTGGCTGTAACGTGAAGTAAATCCAGACTTTGCGAATGAAACGTTGGCAACAACAACGCTACCTTGTGCCACACCACAGTGCTTGTGCTTGTGTATGCTTGCTGTTAATCTCCCTAAACACATATTATGCTTATGACGTAATCATTTTCAATGACTCACAGGGCCCTATCATACACCCGGTGCAATGTGGCGCAAGGCGTGACGCAATTGTTTTTTGCTACTTTCAGCTCAGCGCAAGGGTCCTTTTGAGGTGTTGCGCCATGCTTTTTAAACAGCAAATGCATTTGCGCTCATATGTGCACCAATAGGCGTTCTGGTCTAAAAAAGTAGGCGTGTTTTGGCGTGTTTCTATTTTGAGAAACTGTAATAGCCTGTTCTTTAGACCAGAACAAACCCAGTCTAAATTCCGACGCAGAGTGCGCCTCGCTTACACACTGCTTAATACACACAAGATGTAGAGCAATACGCAAATATCTTTACAAATGAAAAGGAATTAAAATATTAAGGATATATATAGGATATAATAAGCATATATATATATATATATATATATATATATATATATATATATATATATATATATATATATATATATATATAGGATATAAATATAATGAATTAAAATATTTAAAAAATATATTATTTTCTAGCCTACATGAATTTAAAAACCACTGCCTTGAATCCTTCATCTCAGGAGGCTTTTTCAGTTCATTCAATTTGCTTTTGTATAATGTTATTATTATTAGCAGTATTATTTATTATATCGATATTTATATTTGTTTTATTAAAAACAAGCTTAGATTTGTCCACCTGTCAGGTTTTAGACCATATGTGGCATGGCAGGTGTATTTGGAAATAACTCGTGGCAGGTGTATTTGGAAATAATAGTATTTTGACCACACTTCGTTATTATTGTTCATTTATTTGTTTGCTGAAAGTTAAAACTGAATTAAGAAATAGTTTTAAAACAAATCTTTGCGCTTAACAAACTAAATTAATTATTTATAAGCTAATTGATGTCTGTGCGTAAAGGTTTCCCTGTCCATGAAAGTAAAAGCGAAAGTGAACTTACTTTACCTCATGTAAATAGCAAATGCGCTTATGGCGCGATGCAGCTGGCTCTTAAAGGGAATTGGAAATGAGATTTGGATTGGTTTATTGTCAAAACACACCTATAACTCATTAAGAAGATAAACTCAACCCTTTTAGACCATGCGCCATGGCGCAAAGCGGATTTTCCCATCCTCTTATTAGCACATATGGATTTTGACATGCCCTGAATGCATTGCGTCCTGCGCTTTTCATTTTGCGCATGGACGTCAAAATAAGAGCCCACAGTGACTTTGTTTACGTTCCTGTTTTACATGTTAATCGAATTATGTGCTATAATGTCATTGCACCACCATGCTACCCAATTTTCCTCTGGAGTTTCCTGTAATTTTGGGTGCTTCATTTTTAATTTTTGGACTTTAACTGCAGTTCGAAAGTTCCTTTCATTTCATTCATGCCACCATGACAAACTGAGGTACTTGATGTATGTTTGTATGAAGTAATGACTGGTCGGAGAGAGTTGTTTTAATGAAAACTGATACAAAAAAATCTCTGCGTTTCACAATTTGTGTGTCTATGGTCCTTTACTGTCTCGTTAGATGCAGAGAATACTGTCAAATAGCCATGTGTGTATGGAATATCCTGTCACCAAAAGCGGTGAAAAGTTCTACATGATGGTAATGGTTTGATTGCAGTGTTTACATGTCTGTACTGCAATGCAATATTGTGATTTAAATCGACATACTCCACGCCTTTATTCCATTTATATTTACTTTGATTATGTCTCAGATTAAGGTAATTAAAAATCGCTATTTACATTTACATACTCTTAATCAGAGTATTGTCTTAATCTCATTAAAATAGGATTATTGGTGTCCATGTAAATATACTCATTGACTACATTTACATGGACATTATTAATCTAATTGTTTGCCTTGATCTGAATTCACATGAGTTGCTTTTTGAATGTTCCTTAAATGTTCCTTTTTTTTACATGTTACAGTACATAGTTTGATTAACGTAATTAAGTCACTTTTCAATGCTAGTTTTATCAGGCATTTCACACAACAGTTAATGTTCATCATGGTACCTTATGTGATTTTGGGCATTTTATTTTTAACTATAATAACATTTTATTTTTAACTATTTTTAACTAAGTTCATCTGCAGTTCATTTCTCATACTATGCTTGCAAACAGACAATGGTGGATACAAAGTCTCAAGCAACAGGCCAACTCTGCTACTTCATAATGTCCACTTTTTCCAGATTTTTCAGCATCATTCATCATCATTTCACACTTACAGCAAAATGTATTTTCTCTTGCTTGAACCTTTTCTCATTTGTTATTAAACGCCTGACAACTGACGTGTGCATTCTGTTGCAAAATTAAGGGAAAAGCACTACATAACAGTAATAATTTGATTAAGGTGTTTCCATGTCTACACTGCATTTTAAAAATGTGTCTAAAATAGGAAAACTCCACATGAACAGGAATACTCCACGTGTCTTAATTCTTTGTGTTTAGTTCAATTATGACTTTAGTCAGATTATGATAATCAAAAATTTACATGGAACTTTTAATCAGAATATTGTCTAGATCGCATTAAAATCGGAGTATGTAAATGTACTCATTGTTTAAATGTCTGTTGTTTACATGGGCACTTAGCATTTTCAGAAAACTTCCAGTTTAAACTCGTTTTTAAATATATGTTGTCACAAAAACACATTGGGCACTATCATACACCCGGCGCAATAAGGCGCAAGACATGTTTGCCACGTTGTATTGCTATTTTCAGACCAGCGCCACCCGAGATTTCCTGTTTTGTGCCATGCTGTTTAATTAGCAAATCCATTTGCACCACTTTCTGGACTTTCTGGAGGTGTGCCAGTCTCTGTTGGTGCGTTGCTATTTTGAGGAACTAAAAGAGACTGTGCAATAGAGCAGCTGAAAGCAGATCTAAAGTCCATACAGAGCACGCTAGTTGGGCGCCTTAAACACGTACACATTGCTTAATACACACAGGATGTACAGCAATATGCAAATATTTTGACAAGTGATGAAAAATTAAATATTACAAAAAATTATAACTTTCTACATAAATATAAAAACCACTGCCCCATGCCTTCACCTTAGGGGGCTTTTTTCAGTTAATTCATGACAACTTGCTTTTGTATAATGTTATTATTATTAGTAGTAGTATATATTATATACATATTTATATTTGTTTTAATAAAAACAAGCTTAGATTTGTCCACCTGTCAGGTTTTGGACCATATGGGGCAAAGGACATGTGTTTGGAAATAACTTGATCACAATTTGTCACTATTGTTTATTTATTTTTTGTTGGAAATTAGAACTGAATTTAGAAATTGTTTTGAAACAACTCTTTGTGCACTGCAGATGGTCTGTTTAACTGTTTTCTCGCTAGTGAAGCATTCAGTTTTTCCACTAAATAAAAATAGTAAATAGTAAATGCACCATGGCGCGATGCAACTTACTTTAAAAGGAAATAAGACATGAGACTTTGATTGATTTATTCTCAAATCCCAACAAAAAACTCATTAAGAGAATAAGCTCAACCCTGTTAGACCATGTGCCACAGAGCAAACCTTTTTTCTTTTCCTTAAAATAGCAAAAGTGGGTTGGGACAAACTCTTAACGCTTTTGCGCCATGCATTTTAGTCTTTGCGCCTAGGTAATTAAAACAGAGAATGTAAATAAGGATTGTTAAAGAGATGGTTCACTCAAAAGTGGAACTGTATTCACCAATTATTCACCCTCAAGTGATTACAAGCCATTATTTATTTATTTTCTGTTAAACTGTTGAAGATATTTTTAAGAATGTTAAAAACCAGTAGCAGGAAAAAAAGTGACCACTGATTTTCAACCTTTCCATGATTTTTGCTTCAACAGAGGAAAGAAAAAATTGCAATAACTTAAGATTTAAAAATTTCAGATTTTAGAAAACTTTCCCTTTAAGAAACTGATAATCATTTGTCATTTCTTTATGTCAACAGTGCTTGTCAGAAATACAGCAGGGCATCAGTCACACCACATTTAGATTGGAGAGAGTCAATGATTATTGCTTTAAGTCGTATTGCACATTCACAACTCACATCACACACAACAATGGTTTTGTCAACCTCATCTTTACAGTTACTGCCACTGAATAAGAAATACTTTCACATCAGACTTTAATTTCACTGGCACTGGTGACCATACGTCATGAACCTGTCGTTTATCTTTAGATTAATTTTGTTTAAAGTGGAACAATTTCAAAGAGGATGACATCTTCAGAAAAGAACATCTTAATTAAAACAAACACAGTAGGAATCAACTTGGGAGTTTACTAAATTTCTGTTGTTTTGGTAAACAGAAGATTAAAATCATAACAGTTTTACCCAGCTATAATTTTTTAGCATGTTTATACATTTTATTATGTTGCTTCTCTCTTTCTTTGACTGTCAAATAGGGCATCTAAAATGTAAAAAATCAAAAGACTAACAGTTTAGATGCTCTATTTGAAAGTCAAAGAAATTGCTTTTGGTGGTACTGGTATCGTTTGCAAGTATAGCCAGAAATGTGTTTGTATGCTGCACTCTGGCATGGGTGGTCTGAGCTGTCTCGCCTCAGTGTTTTTATGAGAAGAGTGATGTGCCCTGCAGATGTTTCCGCACATGCCACATTTTAAACAGTCATTATAAAGTCATTCCTCATTTCTTTATGACAGGAGAATGTTGCTCTCCATCCTGATAGCCTGAATAGTCTTAAATAAAAAAAATCAAAGAGAGTAAAATATAGCCCCTTGCGGATTTCAGAATAAGTTTTACAATCTCTGTGAAATTCTTCAGTCCGATCGCTCACTCATTCTCTCTCTTGATCTCTGAGTTTTTTTCCAAAGGACTCCATCCAAATCTGAACCACCTGATAATAACCCAGCACCCCACTGCAACCATTCAGCCTTTAGAGCGTTTTTATTTAGTGTTTTCTTAAACGGAGCGATCTGTATGACTCTGAGCAGTCTGGTTCAGTTGGACGATAAATAAAGATGGCTTTGGGGTGCTGTTCATTGACTATGAAACAGGCACATGGTTCGCATTTTCCTGCTCAATCGGCACGCAGGAGGACAGTAAATTCTGCAAGAGGAAAAACCACTAATTTACATCCTCACTTCCACCACGCCATCAACTCATATAAATTACCTCATAATGGCAGAGGCATTGCTGTGTTGCCTTCCCGAGTAGGTCCCAAATGAGACCGCCGGGCTCAGAAGATGATTTACTCAATACCATAATGGCCCTGGTGATTGAGCTGAAGTGGGGATGGAGGCTGATTCTATTCTATGGGTTTTTATCAAAGCCCAAGACGGGCTGACGGTACCTTGATGTATGACCTCATGGAGAAGAGGTTGGCGAGCATGGTGGACAGGCCCTGTGCCAGGCAGCTCTGGGCTATGAAGCCTGCCTTCAACTCGGCCAGGCAAATCGCATCATCTCCCTCCTTCCAGTTCCAGCTGGGAATGTTTAGCAGATGGGCCTGGGGACACACGGGACGAGACAAAGAGAAGTCAGCAATGTCCCCTGCTGGGATGTCTAACAAGTGTAGTAATGAAACACCAGAAAATAAATAAATAAATCAACAGAATCAGTTTAGTGGGAAAGATTTCCAAACTAATTTGTAGCAGATGAACATTAACTTATTTCATATTATATTGTATAAAACACATACGCTGTCAAAACAAAATGTGTTGCGACAATCCCTGGTCTCTCCTATCTTGTTAGATTTTATAAATCTGTCAAACTGATAACGCAAGTCTCATAACAGTAGCATGTCACTATTTCATATCTCACTGCTAACACAGCGTGTTCTCTGACAGTCCTCTAAAACAGTCATCTACAGTTGACATTCAATCGCTCTCGAGCGAACTGTCCCATGAACAAGAAACATCCATCAAGTCATTAACATCCATCTTCTGTCTCCAGCACTCTCTGATGAATACAAAGCTGTGTTCATGTTGCTATAATAGGGGATAACACTGAGGGAAAGAAAATCACGTAGACTTATTTTGATTTTTAATTCATGTGGACAATTTTCTGAAAAGTATTTTATTTATAACATTCATGTGTTTTATTGTGAGTTTTAATTTTATTGTTGAAAACAAAAAACACCTCCTACCTTGTTGTGGTACTGCAACATTTGTGTTATTATTCTGATCTTTGGATGGTAGTTCTTGATAGATATCACTCTGTAAAAAGGAGAAAAGCTATTAAAGTATGGGTAATTTAAAATAGCATGAAATAGAATATGTGGTGACGGGGAGTATTGGGAGTAAAGCAGAGCTTGAGAAAGTATTTTGATTGGTCTGCAATAACATGAATTTTCTTAAAAATCATTTTCTAGTTTACCACAATCAATTAATCATTAATTGATCAATCAATCAAAAAAAATCCATTCATTCATTTTCCTTCGGCTTAGCCTCTATTTCAGAGGTCACCACAGCAGAATGAACCGCCAACTAATCCAGCATATGTTTTACACAACGCATACCCGTCCAGCCGCAAACCAGTTATACTGCATGTTTTTTGACTGTGGAGGAAATTCGGAAGAAACCCACGCAAACATGAGGAGAACACGCAAACTCCACATAGAAATGCCAACTGGCCCAGCTGGAACTTGAACCAGTGACCTTCTTGCTGTGAGGCATGCTAACCACTGAGCCACCATGCCACCCTAATTCAATCCATTCATTCAATAATTTTCTTTTCGGCTTAATCCCCTTATTAATCAAATCAAATCGAATTAGGCCTTTATTTTTCACATACACTTTCACCCTTCACAAACATCACAATTTTCAGGTCACAGGAGGTAGCATTTAGAAAAAGGAAGTAAGATACATCAGGAGAGGCAGGCAAAAAAAAAACTCTCACCTTGCTCTTGAATTAGAGCAATGTGAGACCAGGGAGAAAAACAGTCCCGGCAATCTAACACAAAAAAAAAAACACACACACACACACAGACAAGACACAACATTGCCACAGGAGATGGGAACAGGGGGTGTGGAAATAGTCCGATGTGGTCGGGCAGCCATCTGCTCCTGCAGCCATGGAGGCGCTGGTGGCAGACCTGCCTACCCCCTCCAGAGGGTAAAAGCACATGAAGGCGTTTGGATGAGGGGATCGGTAGTGATTGTTTATCTATAGCTGTGTATGTGTGCGTGTGTGTGTGTGTGTGTGTGTGTGTGTGTGTGTGTGTGTGTGTGTGTGTGTGTGTGTGTGTAAGCCTGTAGAGTCCAACAGGTGTCCTTGTAAGGGAGCAGAAATTTCAGAGCGTCTCCTTATCTTGCTATCCAGGAGAAGTTGTTTTTCTCCAGCCGAGCCCGTCTGGCAGGAGAAAAGAAAACACAGGGAAGCCGAAAAAGTAGAAAGATACTTCAACTTTAGGTCAATATCTGCCAATCTCACAGATATTTATTGTCTATCATTCGTCTCCAGATCTGGCCAAATCTTGTTGCAAAGTCGCTAATTTCACCCAGATGTTTTCCAATTTGTGGTCTAGGACCATAGTCTGAGCATTTGCGACCATACCCATATGCGTTTCAGCCTGGTGTGGTTTTGAGCAGCACTGACCGCTTTCATCAGTAGTCGATACCCCAGGGCCCCACATAAGCCCATCAGCAGAAACCCTGTTATCAAAGTTCCGAATAGGTAAATATCTTCAATATCCTCCAGAGACAGAGCAGCCAGGCACAGGACTCGCCATTTCTCCCACCTGTTCATCACGTATCCAGCTGCAAATGTCCCCGCAGGACAAGTGAGCTCTCCCGAGCCCAAACTTCTCGTCGAGAAGATGGTTTTAATCGCATTCAGAGACCAGTTGATCAAATCCATAATTCCTTATTCGTTTGGATAGCAGGACACCGAGAGCCTCAGAGATAGAATAGGATGAAGACAAGAGGAGCTTGCAAGGAGAGATATGGGACGGAGAGGGAAAAAGTGCGACCGCCTTCGCCGAGAGCCAAAATAGAAAATCTGGCGTTGCCACAGCATAATCTGGCATTGCCACAATGGAATGAACCACCAAATAATCCAGCACATGTTCTATGCCTTTTAGCTGCAACCCATCACTGGGAAACATCCATACACACTCATTCACACACATACACTACGGACAATTCAGCTTGTCCAATTCACCTATATGGCATATTTTTGGATTTGTGGAGAAACCAGATCAACTGGAGGAAACCCACGCGAACACTGGGAGAACATGCAAAATTCAATCCATAATATGCTAATTTTAATTATATAATTAAATTAAATTATATAATTGAATGCACAGAAATGAAAATTTTGGATTAAAACTGAACCTTTGAAAAAATTATTTAAATTTTATTAAATAATACAAGTAATTCAGAATTTCAGAATTCAATTTTTGGCCAAATTCAATGCATGCCTAAATTTTAATGCATGCATGCTAAAAAATGCAAATATATTTTTTCAAATTAATCAATACTTATCCTACTGTCCCTTTAACCAGAACAGGAGAATATGAACAGCAGTTTTGTACACAGTTATGTACACTTATACAAGCTGAAATCTAGACATTAAATATTCCAGAAAAATCTGTTCAGTTCTGCAGGACAATTCCTCACAGAAAACAAAAATGTACTGACAGTACCTTGAACCCCACAAGGACTGCCCCAGTATTTGCCATCATAAGTCACATTTAAGTGAAAATAAGCAAGCATCTGTTGAACCAATAAAAAAAAATAATAATTTTCATTTCCATTGAAGACCTTGTGATATGTAGTGGGACAGTGTAACTTGTGAAATCCAGCCTGGCTTTCTCTTCAGTCTCGCAAGAAAAAGTGAAGAATTTATTTCCATATTAAGCTGCTCTATAACACATTAATTCAAAGAAGCACATCTGAGACATGCCTAAATGAATATTTCACTTTCCAGAGGCCAGACATGGGTGCGATTATGTGCATTACTTCTTACTAAAGAGCACCTCAAGTAAGAAAGAAGGAAGTGAAATATGTTTTCACTCCCTTTCACACTCCTGCAAAGCAATAGTTGACTGCGTCCCAAAGGAAATTCCTCTTTTCATCTGTGTCCAGGTATAATGTGTGAATCTGACCTGAGACTTTGAGTATCCCATTCACACCTTCCTTTAACAGCACATGAGGGTGAAAGGCATCAGCTTTCAATACATCTGTTACAGGAGGACGTCTCTGGTGAATTTGTGATACTACACAGAAACCTCATAAGAGGACGTTCTCAAATGTGTCTGGGGTTGAAGGCGAACCATAACCTTTCACTGAACTGACCTCATGATATTTGAGGCATCCTCAGCATCGGGGTCTGCACAGTATTTGTTTGCAAGAATCAAGCAAGCGTCCGCCGACTCAATCTGTACGAGACAGAAAAACACAAAAAAGACACTGAATATAATTAGTACTGACATTATTGAAAATCTATTAATAGTTAAGCATTTCATCCATGGACATATATATACATACATATATATATATATATATATATATATATATATATATATATATATATATATATATATATATATATATATATATATATATATATATATATATATATTATAATAATAGTATGTATATATATATATATATATACAGTATGTCACAAAAGTGAGTACACCCCTCCTACTTCTGCAAATATTTATTTATAACTTTTCATAGGACAACACTGCAGAAATGACTCTTTGACACAATGAAAAGTAGTCAGTGTAAAGTGTGTATAGCAGTTTAAATTTATTGTCCTCTCAAAATAACTACAAATACAGCCAATAATAGCTGAACCCCTGGCAACAAAAGTGAGTACACCCCTAAGTGAAAATGTGAAATGTCAATATTTTGTGTGGCTACCATCATTTTCCAGAATGGTTTTAATTCTTTTGGGCATGGAGTTGACCAGAGCTTCACAGGTTGCCACTGAAATTCTCTTCCACTCCTCCATCACAACATCATGGAGGTGGTGGACATTTGACACCTTTCTTTTTAAGAATGCCCCAGAGGTGTTCTATGGGGTTTATATCTGGAGACATGCTTGGCCAGTCCATTACCTTTACCCTCAGCCTCTTTAGCAAGCCAGTGGTCATTCTGGATGTTTTTTTGGGGTCATTATCATACTGAAACACTGCTCTGCAGTCCAGTTTCCTGAGAGAACTGTTTCGGTATGTCACAGTACATGTTAGAATTCATGTTTTCCTCAATGTAATGTAGCTCCCCAATGTCAACAGCACTCATACAGCCCCAGAACATGACACTCCCACCATCATGTTTAATGGTAGACAAGACACACTTGTCTTTGTACTCCCCACCTGGTTGCTGCCACACAGACTTGACACCATCTGAACCAAATGGGTTTATCTTGGTCTGAGACCACAGGACATGGTTCCAGTAATCCTTGTCCTTAGTTTGCATGTCTGCAGCAAATTGTTTGCAAGCTTTCTTGCATTGTCTTTAGAAGAGGTTTCCTTCTAGGACCACAATCATGCAGACTAATTTGATGCAGTGTGCAGCGTACGATCTGAGCACTGACAGGCTGACCTCATATATTTTCAATCTCTGCAGCAATGCTGGAAGCACTCATCCGTCTGTTTTTCAAGACAATCTTTGGATGTAACGCTGAGAGCGTGCACTCAGCTTCTTTGGCTGACCATGGCGAGGCCTGTTCTGGGAAGAACCTCTCCTCTTAAAGCACTGAATGGTCTGGGCCACTGTGTTGCAGCACAGTTTCAGAGTGTTGGCTATCGTTTTATAGCCTAGGCCATCTTTATGTAAGGCAACAATTAGTTTTTCAGGTCTTCTGAGAGTTGTTTGCCATGAGGTGCAGTGTTGAACTTTCAGTGGCTTGGTTGAGAGAGTGGAAGAGCTTTTCTACCAAATTTAACTCCCCTACTATCATTGGATACCCGAGACAGTGTAACACTTGTAACACCACCTCTTTGCATGCAAGATGTTACACTGAGGGAGTTCACAGAATTTTTATTTCACACATACTGAAATTAAAATAAACTTCACAAGCCTGTTTTTCCCTTTTTCCTTCTTGTTTAATTTCTCTACATGTGTATACAGTGTTTAGTCCACACAAACAAAAGTAATCAATATCCAAAACCAAGCAGTCATTGAATGTAAACAGTCTGTGTAAATGATATAGATGGTTGGGTGAATGTTGCGTAGATGGATTTGAGTGCGCTGCAATAAGATCCACTTCCTCACACTGGGAAAACGGTAGTATGAGGAATTTAAGAGTCACTGACCGTCATTCCACGTGTACACATATAGTTCATTTGCCAATGAGAAGCATAAAGAACGTTGAAACCAAATCATTGCAGTCCATTGAAAGCACCAACAAACACCTCATCTGAACATCTCTAGGACAACAGGCCCTGTCTACATAAGGAATAAACATAGGGCAAATTACAACCAACCATTGAAAATACTTTCAAACTCAAAACGTATTCAATACTCACATTTGAGCAGCAACAATAAAGTTCTCAAAACAATCAGAACCGGAGTGGGTCGGTAGCCTCAGTTCACCATGTGGTTCCCTCTACCAAACACGACTCACTTGCTCTATGGTGAGCTGGAATATATCCAGTTCTCACTCCCCTCTAGTGCAACCTAGTGGCCTGTAGTAATATTGCAACCAGTCCTTCTCGCATCACAAGAAACTAAAACAACAATTAAAGCATGTAACATTTGTTCGTTACATACATCCCTCCCCGTGTTTTTTTAAAAATCTGCACCATGCCAAATTTTTAAGTTTTGTGTATGATAAGTATCTACTTGCGCAACATCTGATAACATAGTGACCTTGTAATTTACCGGTCCTAGCTTTTTCACAATCCTAGCTGGGCCTTTCCATTTAGGAGAAATTTTAGCCATGAATGCATCATCAGCTTTAGAGAGAGGGTGAGTTCTTACCCATACCAAATCTCCCTCCTCAAAATTCTGAGTTCTTCTCTTCATATTGTAATACTTCCTCTGCTTACTCTGTGCCTTCTCTACATTGTCTCTGACTACATCATATAGAATTTTTTGGCGTTCTAGGGTATTATATGCTGGTTGGTTAGGATCTGGGGGATTGTGCAAGGCCCTCTGTAGGGGTCCCTTCAACTGTCGTCCAAGTGCTATCTCAGCAGGTGAATAACCAGTACTTTCATGCCAAGCAGTATTCAGAGCAAATCTGAACTCGTATATCCACTGATCCCAGGTACGGTGGTTTTGTTCAACAAACATGGCAATCATGGTTTTCAAATTTCGATTGACTCTTTCTGTAAGATTTGATTGAGGATGATAGGCGGTGGTGAGTTTTGGAGTTATTTGCCACTGTTTACATAACTGATCCAACAGGTTGGAGGTAAACTGCCTACCTCGGTCGGATACAATAAAGGCTGGGGTTCCCCATCTAGTGAATATTTCTTCTATGAGAATCCGTACAATAGTGTTAGACTTGGCAGTTCTCATTGGAAAAACCTCTACCCACTTAGTGAAATAGTCCACTATAACTAGTAGATACTCATTTTGGCGTGAGCTCCGTGGAAACGGCCCCATGATGTCCATACCCAGCATATACCCAGGTTCAACTATGGGCACACTTTGTAGGTCACCAGCAGGTTTTAGGTTTGTAGGTTTGTACCGCTGACATTTCTCACAAATTTTGCAATGTTCCCAAACATCAGTACGTATGGATGGCCAATATGCAAATTCTAGCAGTCGCATAAGAGTTTTGAACCTACCCAAATGACCGCTTAAAGGACTGTCATGCGCATAAGACAAAGTTACCTCTCTCAATTTCTCAGGGATTACAACCTGTAATCTTTGGCCTTCCTTTGAATCTGGAATGCTCCTGAATAAGACTCCATTCTTGCAAATATAATGAGTCCTCTTCAGATCTGTGGTTCTCTGGCTTTTGGCTTTAACCATGATCTCTTGGCATTCGGTATCCTTTTCCTGTTCACAAGCAATTTGTGATAAGTCCAAAGGCAGATCACATGAGACAGTACTAAAATTCTTTTTGGCTGGTGTATGCAGTAATACAGCCTGTGAGTTCACTTCCTCTCTCCTGGACAACACATCGGGCACTATGTTACACTGACCTTTTCGGTATCTTACAGTAAAATGGTATCCTTGTAGTCTGATTGTCCATCTTTCCAATCTAGATGAAGGTTTAGGATGTTGGAAAAGCCAGACTAAGGAAGCATGATCAGTGATTACCTCAAACGGTCTACCTTCAAGGTAATGATGCCACTTCTCTACTGCCCACACTACTGCCAGACACTCTTTCTCTGAGGCGGAATAGGACTTCTCAGCCCCTCTGAGCAACCGAGATGCATAGGCAATAACTCTCTCTTGTCCTTCCACTTCTTGAGTGAGCACAGCCCCTAAACCCACATCACTTGCGTCAGTCTGTACCTTGAAGGAAAGGTCAAAGTTAGGTGTACACAACACAGGTGCTCTAGTGAGCTCATCTTTGATAACATCAAGGGCACGTTGACACTCATTAGACCAATTCCACTTTACATCTTTCCTCTTCAAGAGGTGTAAGGGAGCTGTTTTGGAGGAGAAATCAGGAATAAATCGATGGTACCAAGCTGCCAGTCCTAAAAATCTTTGTAATTCCTTTAAGGTCTTGGGAATTGGAAATGTTCTGATAGCCTCCACTTTGTCTGAATTCACATTGACTCCATCTGCTGAGATGGTATGGCCCAAGTAGTCAAGTGAAGCACAAATGAACTTACATTTCTTTAGGTTAAGTGTGAGACCAGCTTTGTGTAGGCTGTGAAACACTTGTTCAAGATGATTCAGGTGAGTTTGGACATCGGGTGAGTATACAATAATGTCATCGATATAAACCATACAACATTTGTTTTTAAGATCTCTCAGTACCTGTTCCATCAGCCGTTGGAAAGACGCAGCTGCATTTTTAAGGCCAAAGGGAAGAGACGAGAATTCATATAGCCCCGAAGAAGTGACAAAAGCTGTTTTTTCTATACTTGCAGGATCCATTTCTAACTGCCAGTATCCACTCTTTAAGTCCAACGTGCTGAACACCTTAGCTCCTTGAAGAGAGTCCAGTATATCTGTGATTTGAGGCATAGGATAAGCATCTAGAAAAGTTTTTGCATTAAGCCCTCGGTAGTCAATGCATAATCTAGATCCCCCATCCTTTTTCTCTACCACTACCACAGGTGAAGCCCAAGGAGATGTAGAAGGTTTGATGATTTTTTGTTGAAGCAACTCCTGTATCTGTTCTTCAATAAAATCATTCTTGGCTTTAGAAACTCTATATGGTCTCTTTCTTAAAGGCAAGTCATCAGTGGTCTTGATCACATGCTTGATAAGGTCTGTACGGCCCAGTTTGTTAGTA